AAATTGATATTTATAAATAATAAATAAATACTTCAGGAAAAAAGTAGAAATTATCGATACTTGTTGAACAACTTCAGCTATGCCTATACAAAAAATTTAAAAAAAAAAAATATATTTATCTATAAAAAAATATAAATATATTAAAGCCTCTACTGCTGAACACACTTGAAGCTTATATTTATTAAGAAAAATATCCACATACCAAATATTATGACCTCAAACTGTCCTGGTCTTTATTATTTCAGACAGTTCTAGTCCTGCTCTACCTATTTGACATGCACACAAATCTTGCCACACACTTCCTAAATAATGCCACCTCCCTACCGCCCGCCCGCCTTTATCTATCTGCTCGCCTGCTTAGGCAAAATGAAGATTAATGCACACATAAACACTAATTGGTGACCGCACATGACTCTTGTCTCCTGACCTGAGACACAGCTACACGCGCCGCCTGTTCTACGGTCACAAATTATGCGCCTTTGGCGCAGTAGCAAAAAAACAAAGCCAGCTCCATTGGGCTAGTCAGCCATCAAATACTTGAAGCGCGAAATATAAAACATAAAATATGATTAAGACATACAAATCCAGAAAAGCCCCAAGAAAAAAGGAAAAGAAAACGAAAAGGAATAGCAAAAGGCAAGCGAAGCAATGCAAAATCAGAGAAATATAGCCAACGCAAGCATTTCGGACAGCCGAAACGATCCAAAGTAGGCAGCACAAGTTTGATATGATTGGTTTTTGGCTTGGCTTATGAATTTGGGGCGCCCAAACGAGGAAAGGGCTAACGAGGCGAGCGAAGGGTGCGACGGATGGACGTGTTGGCCCCAAAACTGACCGCTCATAAATTACAACAGCAACAGCAACCAAATGGTATCAACGTATTTTTGGCCCCAAACACCCAAATGAGCAAATATCAAAAGCTATAAAACCATTTAGTCAGATGAGCGTGAAATTTTTTTCCTTTTTTTGCTCTGTGGTAATTTTGGCTCGGATCTTGTGCGGCTTTTAAACAAACGACAAGCGTTGAGGCCACAAATTTTGCAACAACTGTGCGACGTTTTATGAGTATGCCACGCCCACAGAATATAACACAAACACCAGAACAGAGCAGACCAGACCAGGCCAGGGCAGAGCAGCGCACATCAGCAGCAGCAGTGGCCAGGCCACTTTCTGGGTGGCAGCGTTAAATAACATTTAAATGGTGGCATCACACGTATACAGGCGGCCAAGGGGCTAAAAAAAATGGGCGGGTTGCGGCTGTTGAGGCAAGACAGCGAAGCCGACTACAGTTTTTGGCGGTTTGCCTTGGCTCACTCGAAGCCTGTCCAGCAGCTGCTGTCCTGGCCGCCTGCTTATGACGGCAGCAGGAATTAAATTTCATTTAATGTGTCGACGGCGGCGAAAACTTTGCGCACACATGTGCTGGCCAAACATTTGATGATAACAAAAGCAGGTCAGCACCAGACCACCGCCCACTCAACACCAACCAGGATATTAGATTGTTGTTGTTGACGTTGTTGTTGCCCTGTGGTCGAGCCTGGCCGGAAAAAAAACTTATGATTATTTTGCGCAATTAAGCCAAATTATATGTATTTATGTAGTGTAGTCTGAGATTCGCTTGAAGGTCGACTTCGTCGTCGTCAATGCCAACAACATTTGCGGTCATTTGAGTGCTTTAATTGTGGCCAAAACATCTGCTGTTATGGCTGAAAAGGCAGGCAACATAAACATTTCTAATGGAGCAAACACAAAACTGACTGCTGATATCTTAGAATTGCAACTTAGAGGGCGAGAGAGAAATAGAGTGGGGAGGGGGAAAGAGACAGATGGAAACTTAGCTTCCAGGAAATCGAATGAGAATTATTTAAATTTTTTTCGGCACAGTTCACCTGACGAGCGAGTGGCCAATTGCTTGTAAGCTGTACGCAGAGCCCGTAGAAGATTCTTGATTCTCAGAATTGAAATTATTTTCAGAGCAAATAAACTGACGGTTTTATGGCTTATTTATCATTCACTTTTCAGATGGATGACAGCTGGCATGCTTAGGAATATCTTGAAGTTATCACTTAGGACACTTAGCACATCTCCTCTTCATAGTCTGTCATACCTCATGCTGCTCATCAATGCAGCTTCTTATTCTCACCAAGCAAACATGTGCCTATCATACAAGCTTTATCATTTACTTTCTCACACTAGCTAGGCTTATTTAAAATATGTTTAGCAGTCAGAGACTTTACGATATGTCATCACATATGATTCTGTGTGTAAATTTATGATTGCATAATTTGCTTAGACTCGATTGCTGCAATTCATGTTTTATGCCTAAGCCTTCGTTTTTTTATGACATCCATCCTGGGTGACTACTTGGCTTGTCTGTCTGTGATGTCCTGATGCGACATTTAGCCCAGTTTTACGGCTCGACCTCGTTGCCAACGATTTTCCGCTGTCCCAGGCGGCGTATGCGCAATATTTCAGTTTGCCGCTTGTTGCTCATGTCGCCATCATCATCAGCATCATCATTATCATTATCATCATCATTATTGTCATAATCGTTGCTGCATCTCTTCATCTCCATCATCATATTCACAACTTAACGTCCACTTCGCCGTCAAACAGGCCGTAAAGTGGCATTTCCGTTGTCGTCGTCCTTCGCTGGTTCGTTTGGCTCCGTTCGCTGGTTCGTTTGGTTCGTTCGTGCTCCCTTTTTGTATGCAGCATAAAATTAAATTATTTGTTGCATAAGCTGGGCAACCGACTTCGGCCCCGCACCGCCTCAGCCGCCCCCGCAACCGCCTTCGGGCACTACAAAAACCAACGAACTATGCACCAAAGTGCTAAGCCATGAGAAAGTGTGCACTTGAAGCGGCAGAAGCCGCATGCTACATAGCCCATGGCCACGCCCCCGCATCGCCGTTGCCGTTGTCGTTGAAGGCAGCAGCACATTATTATACTTTGAGCGGCGCCGAAATCAGGCAAAACTTTCAGTTTGGCCGCTACTGCTGCTGCTGCTGCTGCTTTTCTTTATTTTTATTTTTTATTTTTTATTTTTGTCATAACAGTTGAAGACGACGAAGAAGAAGAAAGTAAAGACGCCCAAAAGAGGGCAACAGTTTTTCCACGCGTTGCACTTTTAGTTGCGAGCGTCGCCTTCGTTTTCATTACATTTCGTTTCATTCATTTATTCCACGCGCTCTCTCTCTCTCTCTACCTCGCTCCCTTTATCCCTCCCTCTTTCATGCTCCCTTCATTCATTTCGGACTTGGCGATTTAATTCGACTTTCGACTCGTTCGCTCAGTAACTCCGGGTCCCAATTTCCTACAACCACCGCCCGCCCGCCAGCAAAACATTGGACTTATGTTGCGGATTATGAAGTCTCACGAATGTGGTATACGCTTACAATAGAGCATAACATAGCTCAAGAGTATAATACCAAATATAACAAAGCAATGATAGCTTTCAAGTTCATTATGTTTATATGTTCTTTGATCAAGCCCACTCTCTTATTGTATTTACTTGTACTTATGAGAATCTCATAGAAAAGCGTAGAACTACTGATCAGGCTTACTACTTACAACCCTTGCATATGAGAATCTCATAGAAGAGTGCAGAGTTACCGTCTATATGTTAAATATATTTTGTAATCGAATTCCTTTTCTTTCTTGTGCTTATAGGCATGGTTCAATAAAAGTGTTGCGACTTAAAGGAGCTAATATAAAATCTTGGTAAATATATTCCTTTTAGAATAAACTACAATATATATTTGTTTTGTACTACTTAAAAACTCTCGAGCTCCCCAAGGCTTTTCTTTTTGTTAGTGTATTTCAGTAAACTAACAAAGTGCAATGCGAACTCTTTGTATAAATTTCACGGCTGGTCTGATGGGTCTCCACCGCCAGCTCAGTCCGGCTCTGGCATGGCATGCGTTTGTCTTGCGAGCTCACCTGGTCGTTTTCACCTTCCCAATTTCATTTTTTTCTCTGCTTTTTTTCGTTAAGGCAGCCGCAATTTCCACTGCTCATTTGCATATTTAATGAAACCGTATAAAGCAGCAAAGGGTCGGGATAGGTCAGGCGTAAGTACGTAGGCAAATTATGAGCCAAAAATGCACAGGTTTTTATTTTCGTTCTCAGCACGAATGCGAATAAATATGTGTATATTTGTATGTATGTTCATGTGAGTTCTTCTTATCTGGACGCTGTTACCGCTGCACCAAGTTGTCAACAACTCGGTGGGAAAAATTCTTCTGTAGACAATAAATGCATCCCATCATTTACATAGGCAGCTTTGCTTCGGACTTAAGAGCTTATTCCGTTTCGGCGCTTCAATCAGTTTGACCAGATGCCAGATTCTGGAAAATCTTTGCCCTGCGGTCTCGTAACACTTGCAGATTTATGTGACCGCAAAACTTTGCTGCACGGCATAAATTAATGTTGAATTGATGAATTTGCATGAGACAGCAGGACTAATCGGATATTTGGCTAATTTGCAAAGCTTTTTATGAGATTTGCACACAAAAACCAAATTTGAGTTGAGTAATAAATTTATTGTTCAGCTTAAAGCGCCGCTAAATTTAGGCAATTATATATATAACTATTTATGGTATTAACTATTAAAGCAGAGAGGCAAATCAAATGGGTTAATAAGATTATAAAATATAGGTGGTAAGCAATATTTATAAACAAACATTTCAAGTTAATGCAATTTAAGAAAAAAAAATTAACGACTCTTATTTAAATTATAAATTTCAAGCAGTGTATGCGCGCCTACTACTAGCTTGCCAAGCAGTTCCTGTGGCACTTAATGCACACTTCAAAGCAGTGCACTGCTTATATGTGACTCTCAAACTTTAAATATATGCCTAAAAGTATGCTTCGCAAAAAATTAGTGCAAGAATTTAAAAGTTCTTAAATTTTCTTTAGAATAAAACGTATTTTGTTCACTTTATCTCAGCTTACGCATAATGTTTATTATATTATATTTATATTATATTTTCGTTCATTTTTTACAGAGGTTTTGTGGATTTTTTTTTTATCAAAAGTTAGCTTCCGTTTCAATTTACCACCATTTGCTGCCCGTATCCTGTTTCACATCCACATAGCTGCTGGCATGTCCATGGCCATGTCCATAGTAAGCATGATCATATGACTTGTGTTCTGGCTGATGGTGGGCATGTCCAATGTGCTTAACGACAGCCTGGAAGCCATTGTGGTCATCGGCCGTGTACTCCACGATGCGAGTGCGTCCGTCAGCCTCCTTCATGGTGTAGCCCCCCTTCACCTTGTCGCCATCACGCGTCTCCCACTGCTGCTTGATGTCGCCCGTCTTGGTATCCTTGACGCCATAGTCGAACTGATACTTGGGATGATGATGTGCCTCCTCAGCCACATGATGGTGCTGTGGTGCCCAGTGCACCTGCTGTGATGCCACATGATAGTGCTGCTCCTGCTGCGGTGCCCAGTGCTGCACCTGCTCGTGGCTATGCCACGTCTTGGGTGCCTCATGATGCGTCTTAATGCTGTAGCCCACGCCATGGCCATGCTCATAGCCACCATGTGGCAGATAGCTGGCCGCCGCAACGCCCAGCAAAGCGCAACAAACCAAAGTCAATTTCTGAGCCATTTCAAAGAAGTGATTTTCGGGATTTCTAGAGCTGAGCTTGCTTGATGAGAAGCGCAAATGGAACTGTGATGCCAAACGAACAGTTTCAAACCTTTTTATAGCTCAACAAAACATTCTCGAGCTCAAATGAAATATGAATTAATTAGTTTTCTGGAGGTTAAATAGGCTGGCACAAGTGAAATACAAAAAAAAAATCCATAAAAAATGCTTCAAATATTTGTGCAAATTTTCCATTTCCAAATAACGTATTCAAAATATTTGTTAGCCCGATTGCTCGTTGCCCAATTAAAAGCGGCCCAAAATCCACTTCAACAACGGCAACCACAATTAATAAATGGGGCGTTAACAGACCAAAGGCAGCGCAACGCTTGAACAACTATTGTTGTTGCTCTAGTTGTTGTTGTTGTTGTTGCTTTGGCTGTTAGAAATCAATCAACAAGTGTGGCCCGCTTTCAATTTTTTAACCAAAAACAACAAATGCCTCGGCTCGCTGCATTTGCAAGCCAAGCTTCAAGTGGTTTGTTTTTTTTTTTTACTTTTTCGCCCAAGCCAAAACTCTGAAATGACCTTGAGACGCATTGCAGAAGGGGCTTTGGCCAGTAATGCCCATAGTATGAGGCATGCGGGGGGTCCAGTGCTTCCGAATTAGTGCTAAACTAAAGACCGGCTAATGAAACTGATTTGTTTTCGAGCATAAAATATGATTAATTGTTGTTAGCTGATTTATCATGCTGTGAGCTGCCAAAAGGGTGTGCTGGGCACTCTTAACGCACATACGTAAAATAGGCTCGTTAGCAGGAAGGAAGGTTGCAAATTATACTAAAAATAACGCATTCTAATTAAACAATCGACATTCACAAGTCTGCAGCTAGCTAAAAATAAAGATAAAGACAAAGTTCAAATAATGAATTTTCTTTGAATTAATAACAATTTCAGAACATGAATAGCAAAATTTTTAAAAATGAAAAACAAACTGAATTTATTGGAAGCAAAGCACAACAGAACTCAAGAATTATTAGTAACAAAAAAATTTAAAATAATTTACAAAAAAAAAGGAATTTTCTTATAAAATCCGCTTAATTTTTTTTCTATTATTAATTCACCTTTCAATTAATCATATTTTTGTCTGTATAAATAAACAAAAATAAATATATATAACACATTTTTTGGTTTATTATTATTGTTTTGTTAATTAGTAAATACCAAACATAACAATACTGTATCTGTCCATATCTCAATTAATAAAAAACTCAAAACAGAATTTTGTGGAACTTACAGTTTCTGTGTCTTTTCGATACAAATGCATTCCTTTTCAATCGCAAATGCCCTCCAATTTGTTCAATTCTTTAGCAACAATGGGCCAAAATATAATTTATTATATTTCGTATGCAGCTCAACGCTCGTAGGTAAACTATAATTATAAACAACTAATTAGCCAATCGAAGGCAGGTGAATGGCTGTGAGCCCAGCGCGAGGAAGAGAGAGGCAGCGGACCACCCGATGGGCCGTGGGCAGCGCTATAAAAACGACTTGTGGCAACGGCAAGAACCAACAGACATCAGCACATCGTCAATCCGTTCTCAACTAAAAGCAAAAATGCAGCCATTCTGTGGAGTCTTTGTATTTGGCCTGTTGGGCTTGGCGCTGGCGGCGCCGCATGGCCATGGACATGCGACCAGTTACAGCGTGCTGACCAAGCATGAGGAGCCGGTGCACAAGAGCTACGCACATGGACTCATTGATCACGGCTACGGATACGACGCCTTGGGTCTGGGCTATGCCGGCTATGGGCATGGCTATGACAAGCACGAGCCAGATCATTATCCCAAATATCAGTTCGACTACGGTGTCAAGGATGCGCACACAGGTGACCACAAGAGCCAGTGGGAGGCAAGGGACGGCGACAAGGTGCATGGCAGCTACTCCCTAAAGGAGGCTGATGGCACGACTCGTGTGGTGGAATACACAGCCGACGATCACAACGGTTTCAATGCAGTGGTCAAGAAACTGGGCCACGCCCACCATCCACAGGTGTACAAGAGCTACGGACATGGCGATATTTATGGCGCCGGCTATGGCTACGCCAACGATGTGGCCCACTATGGTGGCTACGATCTTGGACACGGCCACGGCCACGCCAGCAGCTATGTGAGCATAAAGCAGCTGCATTAGATGACGATGACGACTTCCAGAATGTGAACTCTATCCCGATCTAAACGTACCTATATATTATAATCCATATGCAGACATAACAAATGACCAAATGAGCTTTATACACTAAATTTAAGCGTAATTTTTATTGAAATAATAACAAAGTATATGAACTAACTGAAAGTGTTTAATATGAATGAATTTGAATAACTAAAGCCGGATTGAAGCGTGCAAAATTGTGTTCCGATTCTGTCATTTAATAATATCTATATTAATTTGAATATCTATATATATGACGTATCAATAGTCGGTAGCTGATAGAACAGGAATGACAATTTGCCCATTTGCTCAGTAATTGATCTGAAATCGAACCGAATTAACATAACTTTCAGAACAGGAATCTAATTGAATATGTTAAGCATAAAGCGCAAAAAATAATTATAATAATTAATTATTTTAATTTAATAACTGAAATCTTTAGGTGTTATATTTTCCTTTTAAGCCCCTTTTTAATTTTCTAAAAAATCTTCTCTTTCTTAATATATAAAAAAAGCTGACCCACTCACCCACCCTTCCGATTGCCCTTCTCTGATAAATTTCAATCAAAAATAAAAAAAATGAATTTTCCGCATTGCCATTCAGTCAAAAAGACGATTACAGTCCCATGCCGATTACAAAATTCAGTTGTCCTCTGGAATGCATGTAATCAGAAAAGCATATCTTTAAGATCTTTAGCGGCACTTTAAGTGGATTGCTGTGATTAACACGCTGCTAGCCATCCATCTTAGCCGAATGCCAGCTTCTATTGGTAACAAACGTGGCAAGAGCGCGAATGCAGTTTCTCATGGCTGGGATTAAATTAACTTGGCTGGCAAATTCCCAAGCCGATCGCTATTAATTTATGTTAAATCCAAAACGTAATCCTGCCTCATATAAATTTTATAACGCCAGTCAACAGCTGCGTTGTATGCTCCACACCGACGACTTTTACTCGTTTGCAGTTGAAACCAAAAGTGGAGACAGCCAAATTGGTGTTTGGATGCTGCTGCTGCTGCTGCCTGGTGATAGCGAAACGAAAACTCGTTTCCACAGTTGCAGATGGCAGCTGAAGTTTCATATAATTGTCAATTAGACGTAGCTTAGGAAGCGCGCTCTGCTCTGCTCAGCTCAGCTCAGCTCGGTTCGGCTCGGCTTGGCGCATCGCTGCCGCCTCGCTTGATCGCTTCGACAACAATTGTGGAACCAGTTGGGCCGGAAAATCTTGTCGCCGGGAAAACGCTGTGGCGGACTGCCTGGTGTTGTGCCGGTCGTCTTCGTTTCTGTCTGCCTATAAATACTTTGGCAATGTCGCGCAAACGCTTTAATTACGTTTTTGTCCTTGACATTGAACCAGTGTGTGACGAGCAGCGAGCAGTGAGCAGCGAGCGACTTTGACGCGTTTTACGTGCGATTTAAATCGCCGAAGTGACGTAAACCATATTTTGTGTGTAATATTTTTAATAAAATATTCATAAAATATATATATATTTAAATAAATTCGAGTGCACCATGCGTTGCTATGTAAGTGTTCAACTTTTGACAATTGTGTTTCGTTTTGCGAACCAAATTTTGACTTCAATAAGAGCGAAAGTGCTGAGCGAAAACTTTCACCCCCAAAAGTGAAAGTAGTGCAGAAATCCAAAGCAATCCACATGCAAATGCAGTTTTATGCATTAGCATTCAAGTTTCATTATAAATTTTGAAACTCGATACAAATGTGCAAATTTATAAGAAACATTGAGAGCTGTAAAGATTTATTTCTCGAATGTCCAGCAAAAGGGAAAGTTTCTAATTATTTTTGTTTCTTTTATTATACTTCTAATACTTAACAGAAAGGAAGCTTAAGGGCTTAAAATATATAGAATACATATTTATTTAATATGCCAAGATGAACATCTTATTGGAAAAGAAAGATTTAAATATTTAAACAAGTTTAAGTGGAGTATCCTTGAACTATTAACAAATATAATATGAAATTTTGAATTTTGAGTAGACTAGAAATTTGTTAAAAAAATATAATTAATATTTTGACTTGAAAATAACTTTAAATTATAGTCAAATCTGAATTTTAATATAAAGTTTTGTCCCGTAAAATAATATAAAAAATATACTACAAAATAAAAGAACTAGAAAGAAGATGTTAAATGAGACTTAAAAATCGGAATTAAATTGTATTCTCTATTAGAACCAATTTAAATATAATTAATAAATTAAATTTTATTTTTGCTGAAGTAAAAACATTATTTCCATCAATTTAAAATTTCACCAATTTTTTTTTCGCTTCAGAAAAGTAACGAAAATAATCAAATGCATATGAATTATTACTCCCATATGGACTTATTCAAATAGCAACAACAAACAAACTAATAGCCAAGTTAATCAGTTATGAAAATCTTAATATATTTATATCTCTATCTCAGAAACTGGTCGTTGTTGAAATTTAAATACGTTTGGCTTGTGGAATGACAAAAATTCCGAATGCAATTTGTGCAAAAACATGTATACACATTCTGATCGAATGCCAGACATGTCTTAACAAATTTATCTTAATGCGGTCGATTAACTTGCATTATTATACATATATATACATGCTCTAATTGTATGTGTGTGCGTCTGTCTTTGGTGCAGGCACAGCTCTGCTAATTAGACAGATTTCATCGTGCAACCAAAAGAAATTGCCCAAAAAAGTGTTGCAACTGCGGCAGACCCAAAACTTAAAAATCAGTTACAAGTTGTAAATGGCAATTGGCAATTGGCAACAGGCAACAGGCAACGGGCAATAGGCAATTGAAATTGAAATTGAATTGAATTGTACGTGGCGTCAACTGCCATCCTGCCAGACCTGTTTCATATCCAAGCTACTGGTCTTAAGCAAAGCCATCAATCTCCAAGCCGAAGCCATTGCTGTCACATCGTACATACAAATGTGCGTCTGGCGGAGCCTAATTTTGGGTACAGCGAGGCGTATGCGTATTACCATTACCATTTGACAACTGTCACAACGCTGTATGACATGCCGAATCGGATTGGGGACTTGAGAAATGTCCCAATGCATCTGAACACGCGTCGTTTGGCTGTTTGCCCGTTTGGCCAATTAATTGGCCCATGCTCGCGTAATAATTTTGTAGCCAATTTATTAACTGTTGGCTGTTGGTCAACTTGTTTTATCGTTGCATTTATTAAGCGCTCCACTGATAAAAAAAACCGCACATTCATATTTCTGTTAAATGCCTTAGATAACGCGACAGCCGCCTCCGTCCCCCAGCGCCGGCTGCCTCCTGCTGCTCACAACGGCTCTGCTTGCGGTCAGCCTCTGGACACGCCCAGTGGAATGCAAACGTATCACAGCCGCACCTGTCGTCGTTGCGGATGATGACGAAATGATCGAATATGCTCCACAATTTGTAAGTATAAACATATATATATATATCCCGCATAGCCCGCAGCTAATGGTAACTAAATATGTTTGTCGAGCTTCTCGAATTCAAAAACTGCCAAGTCACGCACAATGGGCCGGAAATTGGGGTTTTTGCTCGAAAAACTGGCCTATATAGAATTAATGATTTTACTATATAATTTAAGAGTCGATCGGGTGCAAGGAGATTATATAATAGAAACTGAAATGGAAGATCAAATTAAGATAAATTATATTTCAAAAATTATTCATATTATTTTTCATTTTAATTTTAATTATATTATTTTAATTAATATTATTAGAAATATATTTTTATGCATCATTAATTTAATTAATATATTTTTCTGAATTATTTATTTATATTATTATGGCAATATGTTCTATATAGAAACATTTCCCCATTTCTAAAAGATTATATTTCCTTTTCAGATTGGGAAGGGAGAAGAGAGAGTGAGAGTGTAAAGAGAGCTAAGTTCAGCTTACTGATATAAACATTTCACGCGAGCCTATTTCACTCCAACTTTACTCAGAATGCCATACATAAACGTTTCAGCTTAGCTTAATTTGATAACTTTTCAAACGTTTTGTAGCCTTCGCATATTTGCCAAATCGCAATTCTTTCAACTACCGACAATATATATATGTATTTCTATATATATTTAAGTGCGGCAAACGCATTTTTCGCCATTGCTAGCTATTCAAAGTGAATGTTGTTCATGCGTTTTATGATCGTCCCCACCCACAAGACATTTTGCTGCGTGTGTAACAGATCGTCGCCCACATAAATCAACTGGTGATCTGGTTTGGCCCAGCCCGACTTGGCTGGCAGCCTCCCGGTCTCAGGCATTGTTGATTTCTTTCTTTTGTGCTGGTAGCCGAAAATGCGTTTTGCGTGCAGCGCACTCGATCCGATCGTTCAGCGATCAACGATCAGAGATCGAGTGCTGGCGCCATATAAGGCAAACTCACGCAGTTTGCTGCACCTACTCGCGCAAGGAGACAATTGTTTTCATTGTAACTGTAAAGCTATGACAAGGCGCATTTAACATTTTAAAATGTTTTTCATGTGCTGCAGCAACAAGTTGTCGCCCCGTCCATCTGTCTGTCTGTCTATCTCAGCTGTCCGCCTGGTGCGACGCCTTGGATTGTGCGCGATTTGAGCCAGCGCCTGCTTGACAGTCTAACAGTCGGTCTGCTGGTTATCAGAATGTTGCCTGCAGTCTCCCACGATCTGTCGGTTGCCACATTGTCACTATGATGCACACGGCCAACGCAGCGTATACGCAATTTACATATAATTGTGGCACATTTGCGTATTGCGCATACGCCCAGTCGGCCAGTCGGTTAGGCCATCATAAATTCAGAGCGCACGCGCAAATTTATGAACCAAAGTTCACACGCACCCACCAATGCAGCAATAAGGCCTTCTGTCGACCACCAACTGGGGCCACAGCTCATGCGTCCGACTCCTGGGTGGCCAATGGTCAACAGCTCCGCCTACCGCGTGCCACTTATGCAACCAGCACAGCACTGCACAGCTCCAAAAAAGTAGCTGTGATTAAAAACAATATTTTTCTCAAATAGATTTGATTTTCTTGCAAGCCTTGGCTGCTCAGGTTACGCACTCGCAATGTAATCATTTGTTTTCCTCGGACAGCGACAGCCAGCAAAAGCAAATTGATAGGCAGGCAACAACCAAAAAACAAAAAAAAAAGCAAAACTGCTGTTGCCAGACTCAGGTCGAGACTCGACTCTCAGCACTGGAGACTGTGGCCTGGACACGACTCTAGCCATTTATGGACGTCCGCGCTTAATTGACGCCAAATCCAAAAGCATGCGAAATACTTTGCAATTCGCCTCTTGCCTCCGCTCGGACAGAGGTGCTAAAACAAAATCAAATAAAATACAAGCAAAAATATCAAAGAGACAAAGACAAATGACAACGCTCCACATTTATATTAAACGAACGTATGTAAAACTGAACGTTTAGCAAATGAGTTTTATGGAAAGTTCTGAAGTTCCATGTAGAGGCTGCGCCTATTCGCTTTCTAAAATGTCAAAAGAGCAAATCTTTATCTAAAAATTCAATTAATAATTAAATGTCGTTTGACTTGATGTCGGCCGCAGATCAAAAGATCATTATATAGACATGGTCTAGCCCAAAGAACAAACCCAACCCAGCCTCCAGTGGCTTTCAAACTGTGCACAGCGCGCGTTCTTGCCTTGACACAATTTTTAGCCCAAGTCTAAGCCAAAACGGTGCTTACTTTATTCGTTTTATTTTTTCCACTTTTTGTCGTGAATATATATAAATTCTATAGTTTTTTTGTGGCAGTCATTGGAGCATTAGAGCAGCAGTGCGTGTGCGTTTATTTGGTATGATTTTTTACTTTTTTTGCAATAGGTGTGGTCAACGCATTTCGAAGGCATACTTAGATAATGTTATTAATACATATACGAAATAGCTTAACTACTTATTTAGTATTGACGTAAAGCCAACAATATGCATTAAATATATTCTTGTTTATGGAGAAGGGAGAAGGGAGAGAGAGACCGAGAGAGGGAAAGACGGGGAAAGAAAGAAAAGAGAAAGAGAGAAAGACAGACAGGGGAAGGCAGAGAAAGGCAGGCAGACAGACAGGCAGACAGGCAGACAGGCAGACAGGCAGACAGGCAGACAGGCAGACAGGCAGACAGGCAGACAGGCAGACAGGCAGACAGGCAGACAGGCAGACAGGCAGACAGGCAGACAGGCAGACAGGCAGACAGGCAGACAGGCAGACAGGCAGACAGGCAGACAGGCAGACAGGCAGACAGGCAAACAGGCAGACAGGCAGACAGGCAGACAGGCAGACAGGCAGACAGGCAGACAGGCAGACAGGCAGACAGGCAGACAGGCAGACAGGCAGACAGGCAGACAGGCAGACAGGCAGACAGGCAAACAGGCAGACAGGCAGACAGGCAGACAGGCAGACAGGCAGACAGGCAGACAGGCAGACAGGCAGACAGGCAGACATGCAACATTCATACAGTCATACATTCATACATGCATACAGGTCAGACATTCATACAGTCATACAGGCATACATGTCATACATTCATACAGGCATACATCATACATTCATACATTCATACATTCATACATTCATACATTCATACATTCATACATTCATACATTCATACATTCATACATTCATACATTCATACATTCATACATTCATACATTCATACATTCATACATTCATACATTCATACATTCATACATACATATTCAATATATCACAGATATTTATATAGGCAAAGATTTATTTATGTAGGCAAATGCTATATAGCATATATTATTATTAACGTTTATATATATATATATATATTAATATATATTCTATTATTTATTAAACATATCAGATATAAACACTTATTTAATTTGATAAACCCAATCACGCAGGAACATCCGGAATACGCGTTTAGCTATGGAGTCAAGGATCTGCACACGGGGGACGTTAAATCGCAATGGGAGTCCAGGGATGGTGATGGGGTCAAGGGACATTATAGCATATTGGAACCAGATGGCTCCATACGCACAGTGCACTACACAGCAGATGCCAAAAAGGGTTTCAATGCCATCGTGAAGACTGTGGGCGCCAATTCGCATCCGATTACGGAGACGCCCGAAGGCGAAAGCAGCCCCAACGATGACACATCACAGTCGAAAATCAATCATTATAGCAAGGATCAGGAACACATTGTGCTGAGCTCTGACATAAAGCCACTGAAGAAGCCCATTGAGGATTTGACCCACTCGCATCCCAAGATACCCAGCCTGATAGAGTTCAAGCCGCATGCACGCATCAAGCAGGTGCCCATGGAATTGGAGCCAGACATCAGGAATCGACTGCAGCAGGCGAGGGATAACTATTACAAGGAGATAGCAGCGGCACACAAGCTGGAGGAGTTCTCGCAGAAGCTGCAGCCCAACTATGCAGTGCAGGAGAGCGACTGGAAAGCGGTGATTGTCAACGAGCCCCAGGAGTATCGCCCACACTATAGCACAAGTCAGCCGCATCAGCATCCCTACTACGAGCACTATCAGCCCAAGGAGCTGCCACAGAACTATCTACATAAGCCAACAGCGGCTCTGCAGTCCCTACACACAAGCTACTCGCAATCCAAGCCGCGACCCATCAAGAACTCCGAGCCCATCTCCAATCACATACACCAGAAGAAGATTGTGCACACTACGCCCGGCCTGAAGCACTACAAGTACAAGGCCGTGACGAAAAGCTTTGCCCGTCCCGAGTACTCCAGCTACTTCCAGCGGAAGCCCAAGAAGCTGCACGGCAAGTCTCTGGCGCACACTCATCGAGCTCCACGTCCGGAGGGCTCGGGTCCTGTGCTCTTTCCCCAACACGTGGACGAAGACGACTTCGAGGAGATCTCAGACTCAGACGAGCAGGGCACCGCCTCCGCCAGCCTAGTGCAGTCGATGGTGCGCCGCGACAAACAGCACATGGTGCCCATGTATGCCCGAGGTCATCAGTTCTCAGCGGCCAGCTATAGAAATCTGCAAGGCGTGTGAGGAATGCTGTCAATGTAATAGAAGAGGTGATTTTTTTGTGAACTGTTTCCTTTATGTTTGTTAATTTTATATTACTATTTATGCGTAATTTATTGTTATATGTCTAGTTAACGTGTTTTAAATAAATAAATTTTTCTATAAAATCAACGAACTTCTGCCGCGCAGGCAGCACTGCCAGTTGGGAGCCATAACCTTGTGGGTTGCCGTGCACGCCAAATCAAAGTGCTCAGGCGACCCTCGCACACATGTATGTATAGATATTTGCCACAGTTTTGGTGCAGTCTCATAAACATTTGTCATAATTAACACAAATTAGGCAGCATTTGAATGCGAACTGCTGCTGCTGCTGCTGCTGCTGCTGCTGTGGCTGCATTTGCACCCTGCCCACCTGCGATGGCTTCTATGCAGCTAACTGCTGGCTAATCCAATTAACTTAATCTCGGATAACGAGTTTCAGTTGCACACACACACATGTGCAGGTGAGGCGAATGCATGGTCGTACAAGTACGTACCAGGTATTCTAATTAAAAGTACTTTTTTGTCAACGCAACTTTGGCATTGGCTTGCTGCGAGCCAGCGCGACTGGGCTAAAGTGCGTTCAATTTGTAAGAGATCTAGTAGCTGATACATATAGATATATATATAGGTGCGAGTATGTAAAGCATGTCAAATGCCATCCACGTTATACTTTTCAATCTCGATTGCATTTAAATACAAATGCATGCATGAATATATATGCATATGCAAATGGCTCCCACATCGAGCCAAGCCAGGTTGAGAACAGCATTCTAAGCCGTTTTCGGAGTCAACCAGTTAATCAATAAAGCGAGTGAAAAAGTTGATCCACAATTGATGTGCAAATTGTGTGGCAAAGTGTAAAAAAAATCACTTAGCTCGCGTTCGGACGCGTGAGAAATGTCTAAAAGTCAAGCGAATGCAACAAATTCTAAATTGTGAGCTCTCAGCTTTGAAGCCTGCAGAGGCGTTGCCCCAGCGCTCCCAATTAAATAATTTACAATTTTGTTTCTAGATTTGGCGCCGCCTGCCAGCGACGACGACGCGGCGACATTGAACGACTATAGCTATGACTCAGTCCGACTCTTGAGACTCTTAGATCCGGTTTGCCAGCTAGAAAAGCTAAGCACCGTCGATCGAGCGACACGCACACCTATTAAGGATCTGGAGATTGCAGCCAAGAGTCAAGAGAATGTCAGCTCCGTCGAAGCAATTAGCTGGTAAAACAAATGTGAGACAATTTCAAAAATTCCATTACACACAAACACATAGATCGCTCGGATTTTGGCGGCTTCGAATAACTAATGCCCCCGCCTGCCAAATGACCGGGTGTTAATTTATGGTTGTCTAAGTAAATCGCATATCGTAAATCGTAAATATGCTATGTCTATGGCATAATCGCAAGCTCACAATTGCAGCTACTCACTTGACTGCTGGAGGTTGGGCAAGGCGACAGACAGCCAGACAGAGATCAACAGCAACAGAAATCATTTTTGATTGTTGCTTTGCTTGTTAGCAATTTCCTGCCTACCCACAATTTGTACTTTATTGTTTACAAATGCTGATTCCATGACAGGCTGCAGTTGTCATAGTTGCACAACAAAAGAAGTGAGCAGAGTGGGGAGCATCTGTAAAGCGCATATGCTTAAAGTTGCCAGTGGGCGTGGTTTATAACTGAATTATACGAAGTGACAGACGAGAGAGCTAAGAGTATGCATGTGAAAATATATGTGACATCTGTAGAGGTGCGAGTTTCTAACAGGATGACAAAGATGGCTAAGTAGAACCACATTAAGCCACGACAGCTGTTCAGACATAATTTGATTTGTATAGAATCCGCAAACATTAATTAGATATAGATATAAATATATAAACTAGTTCTACATCAATTCCAAACAGCCTTAACAATTTTTAAATGTCACAATAGCAAATCATATAGAAAAGGCTGACCACGCAAGACTGATACTATTTTAAATAATTATAGTGCAGCAGTTATTAAAGTTATTGAAAAAGCCTAAATATTTATTTATTAAATTAAATATGCCATTTAATAATTAATTATGTTACACTTCGTAAATCATAAAAACTTTATTGAAATTTCAGCTATTAACCTACATGAATTTGGCAGTCAAGTAAGTCATCATGGCTTCATTATGCAGGCAATGCGGTAGACAGCTTGAATAGCAGTATAGTCCTTTTAGATATTAAGCATTTCAGCATACATTTCAGCACGAAATACTTATCAAATGTATAAAATTTTGCCACTGTTTCAAACAACATTAAAGTAGACCCAAAAACGTTTACTCGTCAACAACATTTGATACTCTATATACAAAAATAATTCAATAATAATATATATATATATACATATATATATATATATATATAAGCTAACAAATCCTTTCATTTTTATCTACTACAATATTATGTAACAAAATTCCCAATACTTTCATCTATGCTGCAATAAAACGCCTTAAAACACGACGCCAGCTAAACAATTGCAGTTTGTTTGTTTCATATAATTTAAAGGCAAAATGCTTCTCAGCATGAAAAACGTGTTGGCTAAGCATTTTGCTAAGCCCAAGGTGCATAAACACACATCATAAGCTGCTACCTTAGGCTATTATTGCAAGCAGCAGGCAGGCAATCCTGTGGCTATTAGAGCGCCAACAAAACAACGCGCATACGCCGTGTTGTACGCCCCACACGCACACCGAGACACTTAGTGAGTGTTAGATACCCAACCCGTTCGGCCTTTCAGCATTTTTTATTGCGTTTTTGCACTTTTGAAAATGTATGAATAAAAAAAAAATAGCAAAAAATGAAACGAAAAACTGGTTCAATTTTTCGATGCGTGTAGAATTAGATTCAAGATTTGGGTATTGAGTATATTCAGAGATCCGAGATTCGAGATTCGCGATCGTCAATTGCGCAAATTGGCAAGCGGTATTAAATCGGTAACTTTATGAATATGTGTTGGCAAATTTTGAAATGTTTACGCACGCGGCATGTACAACAGGCATTTCGATTTTCAATGAGCGACAAACAATCTAGATAGACACACGCACACGGACACACACACTCTCTCGCACACGGCCACAGGTCGCTACAAAGTTGAGCTCATATTGCTGGCTGTAAAGTGTAAGTGAAATCTAGATTTTTCAATTAAATGTTGATGCTGTGCAGCGGGTGGAACAGCAGCTGAGTGGTGGTGGTGGCGGCGGCGGCGGCGGCAGCAGGCGCAGTAGGTGGGGCTAGGAGAAGCAACAGCAGGAGCTGTATTAGTAGGCTGCGGTTGTCAAGCGGATTTCGTCATGATGTTAAGTAGGCATCGGTCGTATGTGTTAGCCATGGCCAGCTGTGTTAGCCAAGTGCCTGCCCGTTGGCAATTACGTAACGCCCCGCGGCCAGAGCTCGGTGCGTGTGTGTGACAAATGCGCGACGAACTAAACTCGACCAGTCCAGCCGAAGTAGGTTAAAATTGCAGCTGACTAGCCGTTGGAGTATTGCAGTTTGTAGTTTCGGACTTTACGTATTGGTTTGCAAATGCAAAAATTAAAATTCAATCAAATTGCGAAAGCCCGAAAATCAAAAAAAAGGAAAAAAATCAAATTCAACAAAATATATACCTATATATAAAAAGAAAACGCCAAACGGTCAGACAGATAGACTCAAGACTCAAGCAAGCAGCCAGAGCTTGAAACATGTTTCATGTTCAATTAACAGGCCCAAAAAAAAAACCAACGATCCCAATACCAACGACAGCCTTTCACTCTATACGCTAACGCTGCGTATGCGTATTATTCTCCATTTTGGTGCGATAAAAAATCACATCATGACACGAAATACTTAATTGGTCCATAAGGTTTATCGCCTGCCGGCCAACTGGCATCAGCATACCTTCTGGTCTGGCCCGATCTGGTCTTAGGCCTGGCCGGCTTCGATGTGGTCTAGTCTGGTCGGCCGAGTCTGCACGGACTTCTAATTGAAATGTCAACGCGTGTGCTGCTCAATCAATTTTCCAGCTCTGCTTATGGTCAGTTGTTGGTTTGCCTAGATCGCCAAGATTTCATATCGATTCACAATATTGGCTCGCTTTTAATTGATTTGCACGTCGCATGTGGTGTCAGCCGCAAGTCAGGGACAAACCTGTGGCAGCTTTGAAGTTGAAATGTGTTGTGGCGACTCCTAGACAGCTAATTAAAAACAATATTTGATAGGTATTTGCATTTTTTCAACCAAAATTGGGCAAGTCAACTAACAGCTAACAATTGACAGTTTTCATATCCTGAATTTTGAGTAAGATTTATTTTTTATCCATAATTATATAATTTAATAGTCGATAAATAGGTTAAATATCAATTAATATTATTTTTTATTTAATTTTTTATTATATATTTTTGTCAATATTTTTGCAAGTTGTTAATGATCCATATAACAATATTTTATATTTAAAAATGTTTAAATAAACAAATAAAAATATATAAATAAACATCTCAACCGAGATCAGGAGATTTTTATAATAATTCCTACATTTTACAGAGATTGTATTCATATATTTTGTTTTATAAATTACTTGTAAGCCAATTGGCTTACAAATACTATATAAAAATAAAAAAAATTTATTTATAATTTAAAAAGAATGTTTTTCTATTAGTGAATATATATCTAAGCTCAAGCTCATCAGCTACAATGGACCATAATTCAAGCCTCTTTTCTTTAGGCTTAAATTCTAATTAATAATCAACAACTTTACAAACAGCTTGTCTATATGATCATAAAGCTATATGTCAGTTCATTTGAAGACAATATAAAACAGTTATGAGCAGCAGTTAGCGAACACACCCGCGCGCGTTTTGTGTGCGTTTTAAAACGCGGCGATTCAAAAGTCACAAAAGTGACCTTAATTGCCAACAAGTCAACACTTGGTCATATCGCCAGCTATTCTCTTAGTAACAAATATAAGCGTGAGTGTATGTGTGCACACTCATGGCGCCTTTTATCTAACTAATGCACAATCAAGGCCCCAGGCACGCACAGACAGAGACAAAATTTATTGATAGCGACATTAATACCACAAAATTGTAGATTTTCTTTTATTTCTATTTTTATTTTAGTTATTTATTTTTTTTTTCTGTTGCATAGCGAGCAAATTGCGTATGCATTTTAAAGTTGGCTGCATTTTTGCTGCAGCTACACGCAATGGTCGCGATTAAAATCTAAATCAAATTAAGTCGCTTTAAAAGCATATGCAAAAAAAAAGATCAAACTTGGCCAACAATGCAGCAGGCGCAGCAACAGCAGCAGCAGCAATCAAGAGAACTGGGCATAAAACGCACCACGCGCACTTTTTGAAGCCGAGGCGTTTCGCTATGATCTAATAAAATGCCAGAGCCTCAGATCAGCGCGAAGGTGGGGCCAGCCAATAGACACTGCAGGTTGCAGCGAGAGAACCCCATAACAAAGAGAACTGCCAACTGGCAACTGCCAACTGCCAACTGCGCAGTCGAGCAGTCATCAATTTTTCTTCAGGCAGTCAGCCCGTTGCAGTCTCTGACTTGACTTCGACTTCGACTTCGCTTTTCCTAACTGCAATATTTTTGCTGGCGATTTTTCTGCTCGTTTTTCCAAGCTGCTTTTTCAATTTTTTTTTTTTTTGATTTTTCTGTCGCTAAACTGGTGCGTGGCTGCTGCGCATGCGTGTGAGCCAAAACTGACCGAACGTATATAAGCGATTATAGGGCCGGGCTGGCCAACAGTCAGCCGCGTTGCTCTACATCGAGCGTGCGTTGCGTGTGCCGTGTGCCGATATTTCGAATACGTATCAATACGATATTAAGAATACGCATCCACGAAGGACATTCATCCTGAACCGTTGGATTATAACAAGGATTACAAACTCGTGCATTCGTTCGAATAAATTTGTGAATTCTAAAACACAATCAATATAGTGCGCTCAACTATATCCGAACGTTTTCATAAGTGAAATATAAGTGAAACTATGAAGGTGGGTCTCCAAGAGCTAAAGGACTACAGCTAATTGCTATTATAAAATAATATATATAATATATATTTAAATATAAAATATATAACAGCTTGCTTATGGACTTTATATTATATTTGAAATACGAAAGTGTGTCCTAATATCCTTATATTAGAGTGCCAAGCTAGGACATTGTCAGCATTCAGTCAATCGAATTTAATTCAAACTTATTGAAGTGTGCTTAAAAATATTGTTATTTAAAATTGCCAGGATAACAGAATTTCCATAAGAATAATCTTAAAACTTTATAACAATATTTTTACATTCAATGTGCTCAGTAAATAAATGTGAAATTTAGCTTTGAAATGGCTTCATTTCTGACTCGTAGAACACAAATTTACAGTTTAAAAAAGTCCTTTTTAGCTATGTTAAAAAATGAATTTTTTAACGACAAATAGAAGATTGCTATTTTCTTTTTATTATAATAAATTTAATATTTAATTTAATTTGAAAGTTCTGCATTTGCTTCAAATGGGAATTTGTAATTTATTTTAGTACATTTTTTATCATGAATGATGTATAAAATGTATTTTTTATTATTCCATTATTTTGTAATTTTTTTTCAGATTGTTTTATTTAAACTTTTGTAGTATATAATGGTTTTTTTTTATTAATATTTTTTTATTTTTGGAAATAATATCCACAAATTAACAAATTAATATTTTTTAAAATATATAGCACCAATTTTGATATAAAATATATTTTATATAATATAAATTTGTGAATATAATATTAAAGTAAAGCAGAAATTTAAACAAATTTTTTTTCCTTTCTCTTTTAAGAAGAAATAGAAGAATATTTTTCATTAGTTATTTTATTTCTTTAAAATAACAGTTATGTTATTTTAAGAAATATAAATTCAGTTATTAATTTGTATTTTTATGCATTTTAAAATTTAAAAGAATGACAATTTTTCAATTGCAATTCAAGATCAACAAAATCAATATATTTACAATACGCATTCAATTTGAATAACCAATTTTAACACAATGAAGAATTTAATACTTAACAGAACAAGCTTAAGGCCGACTTTAAGTGAGCTCTTAAGCAGAGTTTTAAATATTTTTTCCATATTAATGTTTGGCAAAATGTTCAATGTTTCTCTTACCTCTTATCTCTGCCAGCTCTAACGTTCCTCTGTCTAAATCTCTTTCTTCTCCATGCTCGCAGCTCCGACTCTTTACGCTGCTATGCGTGCTACTGAGCTCTGCACTGGCAGAACCCTCACCCACAGTCGCGCCGGCGATTGTGCCCTGCATTCATGCGGGTGGTCAGGCTGGCTACTCGTATGCACCGCCAGCTGAGGTCAAGTTCTCCATAACGCCAGGCGTCACCAAGTACAGTCAAACGCCCGCCATTTCCAGCTACTCCGAGAATGGAAAACTCTTGCAGGCATCTGTGGGCAGTGGCCTGGCTTCCTATGAGTCGACCGCAGGACTTTCGGGCTACTCGCACGGCGGTCTAACCCAGATAGACAAGTATGTGGCGCCCGTACAGAAGTCGCTGTTTACACCCTCGGCGGATTATGGTGGAGCGGGCATCACCTATGCCGAGAAGTCGCCAGCTGCCAAATATGCAACTGTAGTGCCCTCTGGCATTGAGCTCAAGAACTTGGTTTCGCCAGCTTTGACCAAGACGGTGCTGACGGCTCCCAAGCTGGAGAATGCCTACCTGCCAGCTGCGCCGGCTTTGACCAAGGTGTCCACCTACTCCTCGCCCGGCTACACCTACAGTCAATCCACTCCAGGCATTTCCAAGTCGGCTACTTACACATCGCCCTCGGCTTCCAGTGGAGCATACTATGCGTCACCCGTGACCACCAAGGTGGAGACCTACACCTCACCAGGTTACACGTACTCTAAGGCAACGCCTGGCTTCTCCAAAGTGGAGACCTACAGCTCACCGGGCTACAGCTACTCGCAAGCATTACCAGGTGCTGCCAAGATAGCCACCTACTCGCCCTCAATTTCCTATGGTGCACCTGCCATTGCCAAGATAGCCAGCTATGCTGCCCCGGCGCCTGCCCTCAAGCTGGCCACCACCTCGTCGCTGTTCTCCTCGCACGGCTCTGACTACTCGGCCAGCTATGCACCCGCACTGACCAAGACCTATTTGCCCGCGGCACCTGCCATTGCCACCCAATACATTTCCTCACCTGTCAAGGTGGCCTACAGTGGTCCTGCCGTATCCACCTATGCAGCAACTCCCATTAGCAAGCTGAGCACGAGCTTTAGTGCCAGTGGCTCAGGAGCCGTCTCCCATCAGTATGTTTCCAAGCCCGCCGTAGCTACCTATGCAGCTGCTCCGGCTGTAGCCAAGATTTCGAGCTATGCTGCTCCTGCCATTAGTACCTACTCCACAGCACCTGCACTCACTAAGATATCCAGCTATGCTGCTCCGTCCATATCCACCTACTCCTCGGCTCCGTCACTCGCTAAGGTTGCTACCTACAGCCAAGCTGCTGATGTTTCGCATCAATACATCTCCAAGCCCATTGTAGCTGCCTATCCGGCAGCAGCTCCAGCCGTTGCTAAGGTTGCCTATGCAGCTCCTGCTGTGGCCAGCTACGGCAGCTCTGGACATGGCGCTGTCTCGCATCAGTACGTCTCCAAACCTGCTATTGCCATCTCTGCGGCTCCAGCCATAGCAAAGGTTGCCAGCTATGCACCAGCCGTGGCTACCTATTCAGCAGGTCCAGCAATCTCGAAGATTTCCTCCTATGCTTCGCCCACCCTATCCACCTACTCTGCTGCGCCAGGAATTACAAAAGTCTCAACCAGCTATGGCAGCTCTGGGCATGGCGCAGTCTCTCACCAATATGTCTCGAAGCCCGCCGTAGCGACCTATGCAACAGGCCCAGCTGTCACAAAGATTGGCAGCTACGCTGCTCCTGCTGTCGCTAGTTACTCCACTGGCCCAGCGATCACCAAGGTAGCCAGCTATGCTGCTCCTGCCATCAGCACCTATTCCGCATCGCCAGCTGTCGCCAAAGTGGCGACCTACAGCCAGGCAGCCGATGTCTCCCATCAATACATATCCAAGCCAGCTACTGTGTATGCCGCTGTTCCAGCAGTGGCCAAAGTCGCTACCTATGCAGCGCCTGCCATATCTACCTATGCCGCTGCTCCGGCCATCACCAAATTGTCCACAAGTTATGGTAGCTCTGGTCATGGCGCTGTCTCGCATCAGTATGTGTCCAAGCCTGCAGTGGCTACCTATGCAGCTGCTCCATCTGTCACCAAGATTGCCAGCTATGCTGCTCCAGCCATCAGCAGCTATTCCACATCTCCGGCAGTGGCCAAGGTGGCGACCTACAGCCAGGCAGCTGATGTCTCCCATCAATACATCTCCAAGCCCATAGTTGCAGCCTATCCAGCTGCAGCTCCAGCCCTAGCCAAGGTAGCTTATGCAGCTCCCGCCATATCCACGTACTCGGCTGCTCCCGCCGTAAGCTACGGCAGCAGTGCACATGGCGCTGTTTCCCATCAGTACGTCTCCAAACCTGCCCTGGCTACAATCTCAGCCGCTCCGGCGATTGCCAAGGTGGCATCCTATGCGCCAGCTGTAGCCACTTACTCAACCGGTCCTGCGATTTCGAAGATTTCCAGCTATGCCGCTCCCGCCATATCCACTTATTCCGCTGCTCCGGCTATTACTAAGGTGTCCAGCAGCTACGGCAGCTCCGGAATTGGCGCTGTCTCACATCAGTATGTCTCGAAGCCAGCTGTTGCCATCTCTGCTGCTCCAGCCATTGCCAAGGTAGCTTATGCCGCTCCAGCTGTTTCCACATATTCCGCTGCTCCCGCCGTAAGCTACGGCAGCAGTGGACATGGCGCTGTTTCCCATCAGTATGTGTCCAAGCCTGCCCTGGCTACAATCTCAGCTGCTCCAGCGATTGCCAAGGTGGCATCCTATGCAGCGCCAGCTGTAGCCACTTACTCAACCGGTCCTGCGATTTCCAAGATTTCCAGCTATGCCGCTCCTGCTCTATCCACCTATTCTGCTGGCCCGGCTATTACTAAGGTGTCCAGCAGCTACGGAGGCTCAGGAATTGGTGCCGTCTCGCATCAGTACGTCTCCAAGCCTGCAGTTGCCATCTCAGCTGTTCCAGCCATAGCAAAGGTTGCCAGCTATGCTCCCGCAGTGGCTACCTATTCAGCGGGTCCAGCAATCTCGAAGATTTCCTCCTACGCATCACCTACCGTAGCTACATACTCCGCTGCTCCTGCAATTACAAAAGTCTCCACCAGCTACGGCAGCTCTGGGCATGGCGCAGTCTCTCACCAATATGTCTCGAAGCCCGCCGTAGCGACCTATGCAACAGGCCCAGCTGTCACGAAGATTGCCAGCTATGGAGCTCCTGCTGTAGCCAGCTATGGAGCGACGCTCTCCAAGAGCTACTTGCCAGCTGCGCCGGCAGTTCTCGCTGCTCCGGCTCTTACAAAAGTTTCCACTAGCTATGGTGGATCCGGTGCCATTTCCCATCAGTATGTGTCGAAGCCAGCCATTGCAGCTGCTCCTGGCCTTGCCAAGGTGTCCTATGGAGCGCCAGCTTTAGTTTCAGCCATTGGCAGTGGATACGCCAGCACGCAATACGCGTCCAAGCCAGCGATAGCTATTGGTGCGGGTCCAGCAATTGGCCATGGCTACTCCTCATCCAAGTTGGGATTGGGCTTGGGCGTGGGCCTGGGCTATGCCGCCTCGGGACATGGTGTTATCTCCAGTCAATATGTGTCCAAGCCGGCAGGCGCTGCATTGCTAACGGCTCCACTTGGCAAGCTGACAACTGGACCAGCAATTCGCCACGGCTATGCCAGTAGCACAGCCTATGGAATCAATGCGGGTAAGCTTAGCTTCATTGGGTTACCTCTTGATCCTCTCTCTCGCTCCTAATCACTTAGGCAAATTGGGCTTGGGCTCGGCTGGGGCACATGATGGCGCGTACTACGGTGCCATTTCACTGGGTCACGCTGCCGTCTCACCTGCACTCACCTACCATGGTGCTCTGGCCCATGGCGCCGTTGCTGGTGGTGGACTGGCGCATCTGGGCGCACCACTGGCTGACTACAGCCTTGGCCATGGCATTGGTGCCTTCGGCGCTGGCTTCAATCGCTATGCGCCCAGCGTCTCAGCGCTGAGTGCCCATGCTCCGCTCACGCCCGCTGCTTACCTGAAGTCCGCACCCGTAGCCCAGCATGCGCTGCTAAAGGTTTTGCCAGAGAAGCATCTCGAGCACTTCGTAAGTCAGACACTTCATGGACTATAAATAGGTTTACCCATGATATATTGATTCCCTTACAGGATGCGCATCCACGCTATGCCTTTGAGTATGCGGTAAATGATCCTCACACTGGCGATAACAAGCATCAGCGCGAGGAGCGCGATGGCGACGTGGTCAAAGGCGAATACTCCTTGGTCGAGCCCGATGGCAATGTGCGCACTGTCAAATACTATGCCGACTGGGAGACGGGCTTCCATGCCGAGGTCATCAACAGTCGCGATCAGGGCAAAACTGTGGCCAAGCGCCAGACAGCAGCCAAGTCTTGAGGTAAGATCGCTTAACTATCGCTAATCTTGCACATCCCAATCAAGTTGATATTTGAACAGCGCCTGTCCATGCATCAGTGACTTGTTTTGTTTGCCAGCACAACTGTAAATAGCCTACGATTCAATTTTCTTCTCATTAAACATTAAACGTATTTATGTAAATCCCACAAAAACAACAAACACACAACAACAACAACAACAACAACAGCAACAGAAAGCAATAAGCAAAAACGTAACAGAGAGCCGCCATCTAGCACCAGCACATAACCGTTATCGTTACTCATTCTATCTATCTCTTTTTTGCTCATGTGATAAGCGTTTCCACTTGAACTGCTTGAACTGCTCTCTTTTCTCATTGAACTGCGCGTTCTTACGAATGTCTATATATGTGCACACACACACACGCACATCCATACATACATATGTTTATACGTGTATATATTGTGTAAATTGTAAATTGTAAATTGTAAACTGAATAAACAACATATAAGAACGCTACAGTCGAGAGCGCTCGACATTGGAATTATTTCTAGACGTTGTTGATTAAAAAAAAAATATATATATATATATATTTATATATATGTATATATATATTTTTTTTTTCAAGTTTTTAGATGAGCAAATTCATCTGTTATCCATAAAATCATAAAGAAATCTTAGTAAACAATTATGTAATTCTTCAAGTTGTACGCCATGATATATTTCAGAGTTTTATGAATAACCTGTTTCTAATCTATATTATAAAACATGTTATTTGGAACATTCTGAAATGCTTTTATCTCAAAACATAAACATAATCCAAAAGTAAATAAATTTTAATATAATTAAATTCTGAAAAATCTTTAGTTTAAAAAAAAATGTTTATGTATTTAAAAAATTATTGAATTAAATTTTTTAATATATGTATAATCTTTTTATTTTCAAATTTAAAATAAAATAAAAGAAAAATAAATTTATAAAATTCGAAAAAATTTCGTAGCTTAAAACGAAGTTTGTAAAACTTGGCAATGAGTTCAACTTTTATGAAAAAATTGATATTTTACATTAAATTAAATTTGCAATATTTAAAAAAAACTGTTTTTTTTCTTTACTATTAAGCTATTAGCTAATCTAGTAAAATTTGGAAACTGCCGACAGTTAGGATATATAAACTCCATTCTAAGCAAAGACATTTTAATTGATCAAAATTTTTCGGAATCTTTATATAAGTTAATTAAGCAGCAGACTAAATGGCATTAGCCGAAAACCTACCTCAATAGCTCAGCTGTTTCTTCAAACTCTTGAGCATCATAATTAGCCAGTTGCTCAACAATGTATTTTATTCTGGATTAGTCCATCAGTTCTCAAAGAAAAAGACGATTTCCACTTCTTCAATATTTTCGCTATATACTGCAAATTTAATTAGCTTTCGATTAACAAACAAAATGAACTTTATAATTGGTAATAGGTTTAAGCAGCAAATCACATTAATGTACTATTCTTTTTGCCGTAATACATTTGAAGTCTAATACTATATATTTATATATATATATATAACTTGGCCTAAAAGACGCGCCTCAGATCGTCGCCAATGAAGAAGCCAAAATCTGTGGGCGCCGCTCGATGTGGATTCCGTGTGCAATATGCTTGGAAGATATGTCGCAGCAGCCGGCTGGCCCGCAGCTTGATCTGCGAGCGACGCTCGTGACCAGCGGGACCCAGCTCCAAGTGGGCGAGCAGCCACTGGTTCTTCAAGTTGCGCAGCTGTGCCTCCAAGTGGGCCAGCTCGTCGTTCTGCTCCAGCTGTGGCACGTGCAACGGCTCCAAGGCTGCAAAGCTCCGGCACAACGCATTGTCCTGCAGCTGGACACGCAATGCGCGCTCCTGGCGCAGCGCTTGATGCATCATATTCAGCTCCCGGTTGCAAATGCGCGTCGAGCTGGTCACACAGGCGCTGTCCACCTGCTGCTGCTGCTGCCAATGCAGCTGAGCCAGCTCCAGGGCGAACAGCTTGTCGTTGAGTGTGTTGAGCGCATGCTGCATAGCCGCCTCCTTGGAGAGCATGGCCTGCTCCAGCTGCTCCATGCCCTCGGCCATTTGGGTGAGCGTCTGGCAATAGTCATGGCTAAAGCGATGCACCTGCTTCTCGGCCATCTCCTTGCGCACCTGCAGCTCCGAGTAATCCTGCTGCTTCAGCTTGGCCGCGTACTTGAGTGCCTTCAGCTCCTTCTCTCGCTCCGCCACAGACAGCTCCAAGCTCTTGACATCCTCGTAGTGACGCTTGATTTGGGCGGCACGTTGCTGCAGCGTATTGGAGCTGGAATGCCGCACGTATTCTGTGTTCACATCACGCGGCTCCAGCAGCGTGCAGAGCTCCTCTAGCTGCTCCTCCAGCAGCTGCATGCAACGCTGACTATATGCATCCAGCTCCCGCTGCTCCGTCTCCTGCGCCGGGGCATATTTGCTGTAGTTCAAGCTCAATATGCGCCAGAGCTTCTCATGCGCTATGCCCCCATTGGACTCCTTCGTAGCCTCTCGAGCGGACACGCCCAGCATGCTGATAAGCGCGCCCAGTGCCTCGTTGGCCTCCAGTATGCGTTGGTAGCGGGCGCACTGCATGCCCGTCCAGGCAGCGGCCGTCTTATTGGAGCTCAGCTTGCGCTGCAGCTTCTTCAGCTTCTGCTTGGCTGCACAGCTGTGCTCCATGAGCAGCTGCATGCAGTGGAACGAGGCGGTCTGCTCGTCGCCCAGCTGTATGATGGTATGCAGCATGCCAGCATTGGCATTCACTGAGTCCATGCCCGCTTCGTAGACCTCAATCAGAGCGGCATACAGCTGCTGCTCGTCCAGCAGATCCACCAGCGTCTGCGGCGGCATCAGATTCTGATGCAGTCCATTGATGTAGTGCAGCACGCGGCGTATGGGCTCGCAATTGGTGTGCTCGTCCAGCTGACCCGTCTTCAGCAAACGCACAAACTCATCCAGCTGCTGCTCCTGCGTGTCCAGGTCCATGCGATAGATGGCCGCATGCGTGCACAGCTCATAGTCGCAGTGATTGAGTCCGTGGCGGAACTGCTGCAGCACAAGCTGAAGGCTCTTCAGCAGATAAATGCACTGCGCTCGAAAGATATAGCGCTGCACGGAGTAGCCTTCAAAGATGGCATCGCGACCTGCAGGTATCAAAGAAACTGATGAGATGAAGATATTGATGTAGGTTAAGATATATATATAGATATAGAGCAAGCTAGTCAAAGAGCAGAAAAAAGCTTATGTGTTGCCTCCATGAAACGCTGATATCTATTTCTAATAATTTCTAAATTTCTACATAAATTCCAATTGGACTAACATATGCCCCACTTTCTTCTTATTAGACTTATTCATCCAATCAGCTCTTGCTTACCGAACTCGCAGGCATTCGGAAACTTCTCATTGATGGCCTGGCAAACAATTTCCAGTTTATCGTTCATGCGCTCCAGCAGCAGCATGACCAGCACCACATCGTGCTCACCGCCTCGTAGCAGAAACTGCTCCGGCACGAAGGCCAGCACATGCTCCAGATGCTGACGCTCGAGGCGCAGCTCCACAGCCTTTAGCTGCTGTTCCAGAGCACGTCCGTAGGCCTTGCTTACGCTGAAGATGTGCTGATAGTCGGCGAGGCTTTGCTGGGAGGTCTCCTCCTGTTGCGACTCATTGGCGCTGCTGAAGTCCTCTATGGAGAGATTGCCGCCGTCCGTTTTGAGTTGCAGTTGCTCCTGGAGCTGACGCACCAAGTCTCTGAATTTCAATATGGTCACATCACGATCGTAGAGGCTTTCCAAAGCGGCGTTCTTCTGCTGCTCCAGGGACTTCACCTGGCCGCTGAGCTTGTCAATTTCGTCACGTAAATCCGATTCCAGCTCCTGGTTGCTCTCGATGAGCTGCTCCTGTATTTGCTCCAGCGCCTCCAGCTCGGAGACCTCGTCTTCCAAGAGCTTAACACGCTCCTCCAGCTCTAGCTTGAGCGTGGCTAGCTGCGTGACCATGGACTCAGCACCCAGTGAAGCATCCACTTGCTCCTTGAGATCCATGAGCTGCATTTCCATTTGATCCACTCGGCGACTCTGCAATTCCTTGATGCTCTTCAGTTCGTTGATTTCAGAGTGCTTCGTCTCCAGCTCTTTGTGTGTGCGCTGTGCCAGCTGCTTCTCATGGGCCAGGGTATCCCGCAGTCGGACCACGGTCTCTCGCAGTCTCTGGTTATATTGCTCCAGGCGCAAGAACTCGCCGGTTGACTGCAGCGTCGTTGTATTCGTCGACTGCTTCTCAGTCTTCTCCAGGCACTGGTCTTCGTTGTGGTCCTGTTCCTGTTCGGCGCGTAGTATTTCCAGATCCAAGCTGAGCTCGTCGTTGCGCTCCTGCGCCGTCTCCAGCTCCATTTGCAGCGTCTCGAGACGCTCCTCAGCCATTTCCTTGTCCAGCGTTAGTAGCTCTACGCTTTCGGCCACATCGTCCAGTTCCCGTTTGTATTTTGCCGTCAGCTCCAGAGATTCGCGCTGCTCGTGCCGGCAGCGCTGCAACTCGCGCTGCAGCAGCACCTGCTGCGTCATGATCTGCGACTTGAACTCCAGCAGCTGTTCGTTGTGTATCTTGATGCGCTCGAGCTCCAGCAGCTTCAGTTTATCCTCGCTCTTCTGCACACGCAGCAGTTGCAGCTCCTCGCGCAGCTGACGCAGTTCAGCGCTGTCCATAGGTGGCGCCACTGTGCTGGGCGTGCGCAACGCCGGACCCGGCGTAAACTGTGGCCGCAAAATCTCCAGAAAGCCCGCCTCCACGAAGGCAGCTGGCGCCACACGCTTCACACTGCTCGTCGGGCTCATGCTCGTCTTGCTGCGCTTGGGCGCCAGAGCCAACGGCACGGGCATGGCCAGCGTCAACTGGGCCGTGGTGCTCTGCGCCTGTGCCGTCGTTGGCTTCGGCTGACTGATGCGTGTGGGTCGCAGCTGTGTATAGGATGTGGAGCGCCGCTGATTGCAGGTCATCGCCGGTGGCGTCAATATCGATGCTGCAGTCTGCTCGAACTTGGCCACAGCTCGAATCGCCTGTGCTGACGCAATACTCTGTGCTGCCTCCTTCTGCTGGCTGACCTCTGTGGAAGCTACAGTTTCAGACTGCTTTGTAATGGTCTCTTTCACCAAGGGCTCTGGCTCTGGCTCTGGCTTTGGCTCTGGCTCTGCCTGCGGTTCTGGCTCTGGCTCTGCCTCCGGTTCTGGCTCTGGCTCTGATTCAGGTTCCTGTGGAAGAGAAAAGCTTTTAGCATGCCTCAAATACGCCTTGAGCCTTGTTACCTTTGGCGGCGCTTGCGGTTGCAGATGTGTGGAAGTTATCCAAGTCTTGCAAGTTGTCATTGAAAATGTTGCATTCTCTGGTGGCTTTTTGGCCAAGCGCTCAGCTGATGTGCTGGCCTCCCTCTGCCGCGTGGTAATTGAATTAATTAACGTATGGCCATATGGCGTAGCTCAATCTTAGTCGTGACTCACCTGCTCTTCTGCCGCCTGCCTGCTGCGCTGCCTGCTGTTAGTCAGCTTCAGCTTGTTCGATTCACGTTGCATGCCGTCCTTTGTGCGATTATTGTCCTGCTTACTTTTTGATTCCCCCAACTGGTTGGCGTTTAGCAGCAGCTGCAGCTGTTGGGCACGCACAAAGAGTCCGCAGTTGGGCGCACATTTAAAGTAGGTGCTGCCATGGACAGTGCCATTGTTTTTGCCACGCGGCTCGTCCAGCACAATACCGAACCACTGACCGCCAGCGAATGTGGTGTGTCCCACATAGGCGACACGGCCGCAGAGTTGATTCTTGCCCGCTACTTGTACACGCTGGCCAAGTTTCGGTTGAGCTGTTGACATATTCATGGAGAGCTTACGTCATTTTGGCTTAACGCATTTCCCCGGCGCTATATATCGAGCGATGGCGTGCCTAATCCCAGTTAACAAACCCTCGCCAAGCTGCACTGCAAAACTGATGCGTTCGTCATTTCGTTTGCCCCACCCCAAAGGGAGCGAAACGAAGGCTGTGGCCGCACAGCGCAGAATCGTGAACTCTTTGGGTGGTTGCTCGAATCGGTGTGCATACAGCACGTGGCTGGAAGCAAGTAACTGTGCATTGGCTTCAAGTGTTCGAGCAACAGCTCCCGCTCTACACCAGAAGTAATTTAAGTAGAGCTCAACATATGTTTCAATATATAAACAAAGCAAAATATGTTCATCATTTCCAATTAGATATATGTATATAAATTAATAATAATAAAAATTATATTTGCCCAAAATATGTTATTTGCAGTCACACTGAAGACCAGCTCTGCCTGCCTCTGCCGGATTTTTTTGAACTGGCTCTGACGGCTAGAATAACTTAGGAATTGCTTATTACTTTGTTGTCTTTCAAGTTCTGATTGTTAAAAATCTACTGACAAGACTCTCAACAGAATTCTACATTTTCTTGCTGCCATCTGGAAACCATTAATATCCATCTGTTACTTTCTTTCATATATTTAGTGATAAATGTATCTCAAGAGAATAGCTTTTTCTACTTGAAGTACTTTCAGCCTTAACACTACTTAGTAGATACCCATCATATATCATATATAAATATTTTCAAGATCTGTATCCCTATATCAATAAAAGTCTAAAATAAATGCCAAAAAAAACAAAAACTTGTAAACATATCCCATTAAGTTCTTCCTTGGCTTGCTTCAGCAAATAAGCTTATTAGATTTCTTCATATATCTGAAGACAAGTTAATCTACAACAAATTAACCAAGATTTTTCCGACACTGTAATGTCATCATACCCATCAAATACATAATTACAATATTTACAAGACGATCTCATTCCCAAAATTCATCAGATACATCTAAACAGAATTATTCATAAAAGAGTTGCTTTGATGTCATTTAAATACTCTCCCATAAATAAATTCTCTATTTCCTTTCACGACAATCCCATTAGAAATCGAGAACACTGCCAACTTAAGACGATAAAAGAAATTATGTTTAATTCGAGTATCAAGGTATCAACATAATTCACAATACAAGGAAAACCTGCGCACACTGTAAATTTTAGTTTTAAGTAATTTAAGGTTTTTTCTGATATTAGGTTGTAGACACATTTATTTCCTGCTACGCTTAGGGGAATGCTTCGCATAACTTTCATTGGCCAAAAATCTTTCGTACGAATTCTGTTCCTCGGTGAGCATGGCCAGAACGAGCTCAGCGTGATCGCCAGGTATTTGATGCTTGGGAAACACAGACACGAAATGAACGCGAGAAAACTATAATTGAATATGAAATTTACCTCTGCATCTGGCGGTCGCTCGAACTGTTCCTTGACCATGTTCAGCATAGCTTTAGTCAGAAAGGACATCGATTGCTCATCTTCCTTACTTGCTTCTGTTTTGGAATCCCTTATTTCGCTATGTTGACTTACTTTCTCCAAAGTCGTTGAGCCTGGCTGAATATCCTTGAGCTCGCTGGCCAGTATGTTGATGTGTTCCATATTTAGCTGATTTATGGGGCGCATATCGCTGCCTACCTCACGCTGGCAAAATGGGCAATTGCCGATAATCTTCATTTGCTTCGCCATCCTTATGCGAGAGAAAAATACAGGCACACAATGTTATGATTTGAAATATGTCCCGTTCGTTTTTAGGTCTTGGCGTGTTAAATATCGAGAATAATATGACAAGAAATAATATTTCAATGGAGAATTTATCACTTGCAATTCCTTGCCTACTACGTTGATTCCATATCTGACTAACGCTACATTTCCTTATCATAATAATAATTTGCTAATTTAAATCTATTGCGAATTTATTGTTATTATGTACTGATTTACAGGTAGGGCCAAAAAAATATAACTATTGACTGTCAGCAATGATTTTCTTGTGCCTAGATTAATACGTGCCGCCATAAACTGTATCAATGAAGTAGATCCTTTAGAAGACGTTACGACAGATTGGACAGGTAGATTTGCTGCTGGTGGTGAACCATTTGTACTGTAGAAGAAATGCAAAGTTTGTTAATAAACGAGCTTCAATTAAAGCTGAGTCTGGTTGAACGCACCAAACAGGGTCCGTGAAACTTCTTTTTGCAAGTCTTGCATGTCAATTTGGGCAGCTGGCAGGTGTCCTGGTGTATGACAGTATAGCAAACATAGCATTCCTCCACGCCCTCGAATTTCTTATCCAAATTATTTTTCCACAGCGTCAGACCATCGTTAATGGTGCCATTCTGTAATGCAGTTAGTATCGTCATAAAATTGTCGGTTAATATCACACGTTGGGCGGGCATTCACCTGATGCGTCAAAAAGATGGTCAGCTGCATGCCAACATTACGTGAATTGGCACGTCCGCCAATTTGCTTGCCACACTCGACTTTAACAGCACCGAGTGGATAGTTGGGCGCCAGCGTAATGACGAGCTCCATGCGTGCCTCGTCAATGGCATAAACGGCCAGGACCTCTCGAGTCGATGTATGCACTGTCACCTGTATAATAAGAAAATAAAATTAATTTAATAATGATCAAAGTGCTCAGTGAACTTTAAAATCTACGTATCTAACATATATATTTATGCCGAGTTTCACCAAAAACTGAATCTAAACCTATATAAGAATTCGCATTGGCACCGATGACAAACGATCTCAATATTATCAAGTCGACTCGGACAAGAATAAATGCACTTGTTGCCGTTGGACCTTCTGTCCAAGACGAATCTTATGCCCCGATCGTAAACGAAGCTGTGCAACATTATCGCAACTACAGTATGGTACCGCTTGAGATCTTTCGTGCCATTGTCATTGTCTTGCTACTCATCTGCATCCTGGCGGTGTTTGTCTTGCGCATGACCCTCGAGGACACGTACTAAAAAAAGCTTATAAAACAGAAGTTCATATGGAACATGTGCCCACCTGCATATTTTCATGTTTTTCCTTGCGATTAACGATGGCCTTCAGCTCCTCGCTGCAGATCAATGCGCTCACATAATTAGATGTTAGATTGTCCACGAAGTTCTTCTGCCTGGATTGGCTGGTGTTCCACCATTTGCGCACCACGGCGGGCAACTTGCGCAGCACTTCCGTATACAGATGGCAGGCATATCGTTCCACTGACAACTGGGGATCTGTTCGAGTACAAGACGAAACTTATTTATCAATATTACAGCAGGCCACTACTCACACAAAAACCCAACCACACCACATACAAACTTTGACATAAGTCATTCCAAATATTTAGTTTGTGATATATATTTTTGTTGTATTGATCATTTCGTTAAAATAGAAATAATTTAATATTAATCATGGATAAAAAGCCATTGAACTTTTATGAAATCGCCAGTGAGGTGCCGCAACGCCAAATCAAACTCGAGAGCGAAAAGACTGTGGCCGAGGCAATTAACTTTACCAAAGTTCCAAGCGATCTGCCGCCGCCTCCAAGCCGTGCACCCAAACCAGATGATATCACAGTAGCAGATGAGTTGAACGCCCGACTGGCCATGGTGCAGCTGCGGCCGGATCGGGCAAAGCGTATAAAGCGCTTGGTCAAAACAGATGTGCCGCCACCGCAACATCTGTACAAATTCTTTTGTATTTGCCCGCGCTATCATCCGTGCTATGTGCCCTGCCAACACACCGGCCAGATAATCATCGACCGGGATATGCTTAAGCGTGAGGAGCACACGTGCTTTTTGGCCACACCCAAAAAAAATTTCATCTCGCCCCAGAGGCTTAGGCAGCCACGCTACATTACCAAAAAGATCTATGTGCCCATATGTACGGCTCGCATGGAACGCTTGGCAAACCCGCATCCAATGCGAGTCAGGGACACATTCAAAAATTTCCGGCACATTCTTTCCGCCCGCCATCTGGCAGCGCTGCAACAACAAATGAAGCCGAAGCCACCTGTTGAAGCGCTGCCCATGGAAAAAGCGATGGAGTATATGGAAGAGGAGATACGGCAGCGTCGTGCCCTGAGGCACAAGCATCGACAACGCTGCAACGGACTCAAAAAACTCATCATTGAGCGTCAACGCAAACAGATGATGAAAATTATTTGTGTTCTCTTTGAGGAGATGAAGGACTTCCTTCTTAACGATCAGTTCATCATTGATGAACAATCGCCACTATCTTCTGTCATACTGGAGCGTATCAAGGAGTTTACTGGTAAGTCCAAAATATGCGCGGATGGCGTGTCAACTACACTATTAACATTTCCTATCTTTTATAGAGCAAGAATTCTATACAACTAGTAACTTGCGTGACTATCAACGCATTTTGGCTAACAATCTGACCGTTTGGATTAACAAATTCATATCGAACTTGAACATATATATGGCACCACAACAAATACCAGTGGCACGTTCGATGCACGCTGAAAATGATGAGACATTCGTGCCCGTAACTGATTATATTTCGTTGTCAGAACAAGATGCTGATGAAATGCAGGAGGATCTTGAGCTTGGCCTGACAGATTACGAGACCTATGGTGAGGACTATCCATATATGAATGAAGGTGTACCCTCGGAAGAGACGCTCATAAATTAAACCGTGCATGAACCAGAAAGGAAGCAACTTACCCTGCAGCTGGGACCAAGTTAGCTCTTTGAATACACCATTGCTGTGCACTTTGGCGCTATGATTCTTCAATATGTCCACTGGCATGGCACGAAACAGGAAATGTAGAAAATTCTATGGAGTGCATAAACAAATTTCTAGTGTGTTAGGACCAAATCAAATGTTTAAATTTTACGTCGCAGGCAAAAGTCATACCTCCTCGTAATGATTCTCGTTAAGCCAGCTCGTGTAGACGGAACGTAAAGCGACTGGCGACTTAGCACAGCAATTTATAATGCAGTCCCATATCAGCAGATAACTATAGGCATTGTGTCTATCAATTGGCTCCAGATCCTCCAATTCAGTTACCTTAAAACTAAACTCTGGCAAATACTTGCGTATGAGTGCATCATATCGATTCAGATAATCCTCAAAACGATTGAGAAAATGCCACTTCGAAATCGTCGAAGAGGCAGCTTCAATATTATCGCTTTGCTTATCATTCAGTTCAATATCATCGGCCACGAACTGAGGCGTTAACTGACGAAGAGCATGAACCGAATTCAGGCGAACGGAATGCTGTGAACTGTGAAGTTGCTTGAGCAGAAAATTGCACAGGTGATCCAGAGATAGCGTTGAGTGTGGCACTTTGCAGAACTATATAAAATAAATCGTTTTAAAAAAATACAATTATGCAGTTGTTATTTAGTGTAGCTACCCCGTAAATAAAACTATAATCCATCAGCTCAAGCGCGGGAAGTATACGCTCCAACAAAGCTGCGTAGCATCCGCGAAAATCGGGAGCAACATCTATCTCATGAGTGAGCTTATAATAGGACTTAAAGAGCACCACATTCACTTCCCTGGCAAAGAGGCTCTCCCATTCATCAATCACATTCTTAAGTAGCTCTGTTGAGCTCTTCTGCTTCTCCGATCGTATAAAAGAAATTAGCGTTGCGAATAGTTGAAACACAGCCACAATGAAGAAGGATGTCTGATAGGTTGGAAAACTGTGTATTAGCTACGGTAAGTATATACTTTGTACAGTCCTCGCACCTTTGGATCTTTGTAATTTGTCATCGATTTGGAAACTGTAAGCACCCAGGATCCAAGGCCAATGCGTATGGTATCCCAGTTCTTAATGGTCAGCTCATAGGGAAAGCGTAGTAGGAGCTCATTAAGCAGCTTAATAATTTCCACAGTATTTATCACTGACTCATATGATTGATTAAGTAGCTCGCTGGAAGTAAAACGTATATTAATACAAAAGATTAACATAATAATTGAATGAACATACACATTATAATGTAGAAGCTCTTTTGTTGCACTCTGCTGGTCACCAATGCGAGTTATATACTGAACCGCGGAAGCAATATATTGGTGATCTGTTTTCTTATTCTCGTCTGATTCGAAATTATTGAGTAGCAAAGAGCGGAAGACAGCTGCTTTCGACCACATATCACTAGGTTCCGTTCGCATGATGGCGCTATTCCAGTTGATCGAATTTTGCGCCAGTTTCGGCAGCAAGTGCTGTAAAGAGAAACGATTTAGTAAATGATAAATAGAATGAAATATTTTGCACAATTTGTTACCTGCATCGTTAGCACATAAGCATTAATCGCGCCCTTTGATAGAAACAGTTCGGCGAGATCTTCGTGTAGCAGAATTGTAGCGTTTTCCTCGAAAGACTCATAATGATCAGTGTTAATCAGATAACCCAACAGACGATAGATGATGACGTTATTTTGCTGCAGTGCTTCCTGCTGCAGCCGTTCCTTAATGATCTCAACCAATTCGCTGACATTTCCCAGAAAGCTGCACAACTGCTCGGATAGAAATAGCACAACCTCTTCACTGGCAGCATCCACCTTATCGACAAGTTCTAGCCAGGCATCGGCAGCTGAAGCCACGTGCATACACTGTAGCATCTCAACAATTAGGCACTCGCTCCATTGCTTTAGCAGATTGGCATTGGGATCACAATAGTCTTCGGTGAGCTCATCCTCGCCTTCGTTGGAAATATCCGTCAGCTGTGGACTGTCCACACGGCAAACCAGCTTGCAAATTGTCGTGAAATTGAGCGCTGCTCTACGCACCAACGGGATGACTTTATCTTCATCAAAGCCAGCACTGTTGAAGGGAATGCCAGCACTAATTGAACTGTGCACCGCCTCCAGATAGACAGAATGCTGTTCGAATTGCAGCACAAGGTCGTTCGTCTTTAGTTCAGAGCTAAGCAACGCCACCAAGGTCTCGTCTATGCGCGACAAACGTTGCGTCTCATCCTCAATGTTCTCCGTAGAGCAGATGATAAATTTGGCCACAGTCTCTGCCATGTCTTGCAAGCTACTGGCATCATGCTCGGCATTCGTTACCAGTTCCTCCACGATGCGCGCACAACTATGGAGCAGCTCATCGTTGATTTCAATATCTTTACTTGACAGGGCATCCTGCCAGCAAGTAGTTATCTCCCACAGTGTGTCCTCCGATAGGTAATCACTAACTTTCTGCTCTAAGCTGAACTTAAACAATTTTAAAAACACCTTCTGGCGCACTGCAAGCGAAGAGTTCGCCTTGCTGCATATGACGGGCATTATCTGAGCGATAAAGCTGCCGCACACCTCGATCATATCATTTTCAGCTATCTCTTCCAATGGTTGGCACATGGCTAACAGTATATTGTCCACAGTTGATGCGTTTATTAGAATATCACCAGTATCCGTTTGAAAGAAGCATTTGTGCAGCAAATTCAGCTTATCCCGATTGTTATCCACCACCACCTCTTCGGCAATGCGTCTGATTACCTCGCAAGTGTCTGGGCTGGCGAGCATTTGCCGTACGGCAGGTTCGGTGCATAGCGGATACGAGAGCAGACGATGCAGCAGTAAATTCTGTACACGGTCTTGTTGTATCTATAATATAAGAATACCAAACAGAGATCAGTTTTCAATTTGGTAAACATTTTTCTTCTAAATACCTTCAACAGCGTTCCACCAATGTACTCGAAGCGGGGCACCGGCTCTTGCAGGGACAGAATCTCAAAGAGAATATCCACAACCGACTCGCAGGCATCGTCATTTAATTTTCCTAGAATCGATACAAATTTATCCAGCGTAGCATGCAGTTCGCCACGTTCTGTCAAACTTTTGTAGAACTCTGCATCTGTGAACATTTTAGTCAGCGTGCGCACTTGCCTAATAAAGCGGGCAGAATTGCTGCTGCTGCTCGCCTTATCCAGGCAAATGCGCACGAGTTTCACAACCAACTGCTTGAGTTCTTTTTGTATGAATGCAGCCGCATCATGGGCTTTTCTGGTGGGCGTCGACTGCTGTGAAGCCACCTTAGTAGTTTCTTCCTCATCTACCTCAACAAACTTAACGCTCTGTGTTTCTAAACTGGGATTGGCCACATGTAGATCCTGCACCAAGAGCAGTACATGGGATAGCAGCTGCTCATTGACGTCCTCCACTGCGAGATCTTGTGTGACCAGATCGAAAATGCGCGTCCAGAACTTGTTCAGTAGTTGCACGTACAAGGAGCTGGCACTTTTATCGCTATTAGTATTGCATTCACGATCCCAGAACGCAACCAACGCTGAAGTATGTTGAAAGAAGTACTTGACATGGTTGCTTTCACTGTGCAGCAAGTTGCCAATGGGCTCCAGTAGCTGATGTTCCAGAAGTCCATAGCCGAATTCCTCCATTGCTGCTGTACGCTGTGCATTATTGTTGATCTGCTGCAGCATAAAGCGCAAGCATTCAAAGTATGCATTGTGTATAATGGAGATGTCCGCTTTGGAAAGCGGTGGTTCGTGCGTGCCCACGACTGCTGATTTTAGATCATCGAAGAAGCGCTGATAGAATTCATAAAGGTCCAAGTCTTGCAAGCTTTCGGCAGTAATCTTCGATAGAAACGGCAACAGATTCGGACAAATTGCCTGAGCATTGCGATTGAACGCATTGCGCAGCAACGAAGAGAGCTTCGGTAGCAGTGCTTTGCGTATATTGAGCGGAGAGTACCTGCGCAAATAAGAGATAAGAGATAAGTATACAAGACGTGAATCAACTGTTTGCCTTCCAATCATACCAATCTGCGTAGTTGCTTTGCAGCAGCAGCACGCAACCCCAGACGTGGGGTGCGACAAGTGGATCGGCATCGTCGATTAATTGAAAGCTGGTGGTAATGAGTTGCGATTTTTGTGGTGTGAGGACTTCAAGCAAGTTCGCACATTGCAGTATATGATAGATGCAGTCAAACCAAGCAGCTCTGCAGAGAGAAAAGTTAGTTTAACAATCGTTTAATAAAATATCATTTTTTTTAAGATATTTACTTAACGACGGGCACTTTGTGCTTGGCAAATGTCCAAAACTTTTGATGTGCCAACAACGTGGTTAAGCCTTCCTTCAGCTTCTCATGCTCCGCTGTCTGTGACGTTTGCTCGATAAAGAAAGCTAAAACCTTTAAACTGCCAATGACAACACGTTGATACTTTTGCTCTGCTTCCTCCGGCTTTAGGCTTTTTCCTATGGATAGCGTGGCAGGCGTGTGAAAGGTCAAATTGCGTGTACAGTATTCAATTATTTCGCTTTCGCAATGTAAGCACACTTCGCCCGATCGTGCAAAGGTCTCGCGAAATGAATTGGACGCAATGCTTGCCGCAGGCGCATAGCTATCATAACGACTGGCCAACCAGACGGGCACCAGTTGCTTAAGATACGGTGCCATGGCCCGTTTGCATTTGGAGACGAGTAATTGTTGCACAATCTGTGTTTGCTCACGCACTGCATGCTCCACGTCGTTGGCCAGATTGTGATAGAATTTTGGCCAGAGGGGCAAAATGTTTTTGAGGGCATCCAAATCGGATTCTGTAATGAGTTCATGTAACTCCTGCAGCGCCTTCTTTTTTGTCAGAGGATCCTTTTTGGATAGCTTGCGCAATATTATTTGGGTCTGTGGACTGATGCTGGCATCGAATGTCTCTGGCATTTGTTCGGCGCTGGAAAAGCCTGGAGCAAAGGGCACCAAATTGCCATCAGCCTGAGCGGAGAAACCAACGAATATGGGCGCCGTTGTGCCCAGCAGTTCCGCTGTGCGGCTGCTGCTCGATGGCTAACGATAGTTCCACGAAATTAAGAAACAATTAGTCATATATGCGTCTCGTGCATGGCATTTTTTTGATTACCTTTGCATTGTTTTTGGTGCGAGGCGTTTGTTTCGTTTTTCCACCCATTCTAACACGTTGAAGTAAGTTAGCAATGTGGCCGCACGTAGCCCAGTGCAAAAAACATAACAGCTCATGCAGTCATAAGCCACAAACAGCTGTTTGGTATTTTTACAGCTACAGTATTATTTAGTAAATTTTAATATCAATCCAAGTAAAGCAATAACATACAACATATTTTAAACTGTATAAAAGTGCAGTATTATGTATAAAATACTATCGATGTTAATACACAAATATCGATAGTGCCGCCAAAAAATCACCTCGATAGTTTCCAACATAGATTAACCGCACGTGTTGCATTGTTTTGATTCGGTTTTTATTAATTAAATTGCTTTAAAATGTCGAAGTTTTTATCATATTATAATCTATTTCCCATACCGGATCCCAAAGAATTTCTGGGCATGGCAGCGGACAAAGAAATTGGGAATGTAATCACAACGCTGGCTCGCAATGTTGTTGTTATATTGAATGTAAGTTGTAAAGGGTTTAAAATGTAACAATTTCAATTAATATTGCACATTCAACTTTAGATTAGTACTCATAAGCAACTGCACAGCTGGTCTATGCCAGAAAAATTATCTACAAAAGTTGTCTACGATCCACACAGTCAGAAATATGTTGGAGTCTTCGGCAATCATTCACTTCGTCTATGGGATGTGGACACACCCGACGTAGCCAAGTGCAAAAAGTTAAAGGTTTGCATTTAATTAAATATGATCATATTGTTATTAACAGCCTTTCCGCACAGTTCCAAAAGAGCATTGCTCATGTGGTGTACTCAGATGAGGAAGCAATCGTTTTGTATAGCGATGGACGCTGCCAGCCGCTTTCAGAAGCTTTGCAATCTCGGAAAAATCAAAAAGAAAATATCGCCGAGCAATTGACTCTTGCCGCCAGCAAAACACTAAGCAAACCAATTGTTCATACACTTACAAACGGACAGAAATTGCTCACGTATTTTGAGGAAAAACATGCTACGGGTGAATTTAGTCTGATACGGCTGCCGCTGTCCAATCCCCACAAGCGTGTCTATAAAATCAAGAGGGAGACAGTACGCCTGACTGGTCATGCTGTCGTCGAAGGCGACAGTGGGCCACAGTTAATGACTATTTGTGAGTAGCTCATAACAAGTCTTGAAGTTCACAAAACTAAATCTGCCTTGTCTGTTTTAACAGGGTCCGATAAGCGCATCTTCATTCTAAATCTTGCAGAGCGCTCCCACGAATCTGCACCTGGTCAATTTGTGTCAATGCTTGCCGAACTCAATGTGGAGAGCAAACTGTCAGTTTACGGTCTGTCGCGTAACTTTGCGGCCATCTACGGTGCTAACTATGGCCAAGAAGGCGCCTCGCTGCTTGTCTACAACACACAGTTTAAAATTGTCAATGCCAAGCAATACTTCAAAGTTTACTTGGATATCTCACGTTTATGGGCTCGCGATGAACACATTCTGCTGGCTATGGGGCAGAATATTGCAGCAGTGCAATATCGCATGAATGACGAACTGCTTGTGGATATGCTGGGCTCCCAGTTGAACGAAGCTCACTTGACGCCCATTGAATTGGATCATATAAATGAGGAGGAATCACTGGAGGCGGCGATCAAATTTGCAGGCAGCAGTCGTGCTCCCAATCTTCTCAAGAAGTTCAAAATGTCGTATCAACTGTTGGCAAGTCTTCCACCTTCTGATGGCAAAACTGTGGCCTTTGAGTCCCCAGAAATATCGAAGCACGAACTAAACGAAGTGATCAAACAGCATGTGGATGGAGAGATAATACAAGTCACCAACGGACTGGAGGACGTCAATATTACATTGATGACCAACTATTTTGATGAGGGTCCGCAGAACTTGGCTGTACAAGCAATAGTACGACAATTGGAACGCAGTGGAGCTGGCGAGCAGGAGATTACAGAGAAACTGCTAACATTGTTCATTAAAACGCGAAACACGGAGAATATTCTGATGTGTGTGCGGCGATACACAAACATTTCGGAGCATATGTTAGCCTGGTGCTTACGCTATGCGTTGGACAACACTTCAACGGCTCTCACCAATGGCGATGCCATGGAAACCGACGATACAGAAAAAAAGCCGGTTAATGATGAGCTACTTAATGCTGTCCTTGCTTGCAGCTTCAATTCTACAGCGATTGAGAAACATCTAAAGCAACGTCTGGAAATGTCTCATGTGCTGCGTCTGCTGTGTCACTTATATGTGCTAGCAACGGATCCCAATGTGCTACTTGAGGAGCGGCCCACCCAAAATATTGCTTCTCTGGGTAATTCAATCACAGAGCTGCAAGCGTTCCAGTGGCTGAGCGCTTTGCTGACTTCACATATAACACTGTTAACTATCTCCAAAGATGAAGAACTGATGACTGTGCTAACGCAGTGGTCGGAACTATTCCAGATCTATGCACATACTTTGGAGCCATTAGCGCAGATTGTGCCGCTGCTGACCAATATTATTGAACGACACGAGCCAAAAGATCCGTACCCCACCTTGTGGTATGGCATTGAGAAAGTTAAGCTTTACTAATCTAAATTAAGCTAAAGTTTATTGTTCTTAATACACATTATTGTTAATCGTTAAGCAAATAAATGTAGAATTAAAGCCAAATGTTTAAACTTGAAGTAGAAATATAACAGATGACAGAGAAAAAGAGCTAGCAAAAGTCGATCCACTCCAACAGGAGAGCCTTAATATGTGTTGTTCTCTGATTTCAAATCTTCTCTGCAGCAGCTGATCTTGACATTATAGTCAATAAATCTCTGAAAAGGATATACTAACATTAAAAATAAGAGCCTAGGAATATTTATATTGGAATATTTCAAAGGGATAAAATCTAAGTCAGCAACAGTTTTATCATTCACATCTCTTGCGAGCGCAACACAATTATGCGCATCATTAATAAACATGATTTTTTATGGCAACTATTAAAATGCTTCAAGTCAAACCGCAAGAAACATGAATGTGGAGCGCTTAAGCTACTTGCGGCCAGCTGCTTCTGCTGCTGCTGGTCTCAGTAATAATCAAAGTTTACCATTATTCTTAGCTCTGTTTGGAGCACATGGGCGCTGGAGAGCTTCGGGCTGTCATTTGACATGTTTTCATCACGACAATGACAAACCACTTAGTCAACTTCAGCTTCAACTGTGGCTCCACAGCGCGGTCGGCACTTTCTCTGCGCCTTTCTCAGATTTGAATCCCCACTTGAGAGCGATGACCAGACAGAAAAAACTACAAAAATCAACAAAAATAAAAATTGAGGGGACCAAGTTTAAAAATAGCCACCCGTTTGATTCATTTCGTGTCGATAAGACGTGGGCCGGCAGCTGAGCTGAGCTGACTCAGTCTAGGGGCGTCTAACATAGACGCATGGACTTATATGGCATTAGAGAGTTAAGTATTTAAATTACAAGAGCCTTGGCCGCTTGGCGAGTTAAAAGCATCTTTTTCTTTATTTAGTTTGATTGTAAGCTGAAGATTTATCGCATGCCTGGCCTCTATAGGGGGGAAAACCTGCTTGTAACGTCATAAAATCGAGATAAATTATTTAATTTTCGATTTCCTAAAACCATTAAGCAAAGGCAGACGCCTAGCTACCCCAAGCTGGCAAGTCATACCAAGACCAGGAGAAAAGAAGATGCACATACCAAGCGAGACAGATAGACAAAGAGAGAGAGAGAGAGAGTGAGATGGACAAACTATAACCCTTATGTATAGTCAGACTGATACTTCGTGCTCTCTATATATACATAAATACATACAAATGTACATGTTGTACCTTATATATGGTCATATTAAGGTTTTCTTCTTGCTGATGCTGTGCTGACGCTGCTGACCGTTGGTTGCCTTCTTCTTCTGCTTCCTCTGCTGCTGGTGCTGCTGCACTGCCAAGGATACAAATACATATACATACAAGCATACGCCTACCTGTGCGCAGGTAGCGCAGGGCAGGTAACTCTTTGCCCAAGCAAACAGACAAACACGCACACACACACAAGTGCAGATGCAGATGCGCGTTACTTGTTACAAACAAACGTTAAGATGAGGGAACGACAACGACAACGACAACGACAACGACAGCGACTGCTACGACGACACGCTACCCCCAACAACAAGAGCAACAACATTTAAGCAGCGTCATGATCATCAGCATCGAGCTCTGGACGAAGGCAATGGCAAAGGCTACGGCACAGCAGCCAGCAGCCAGCAACCAGGGCTGGCACCACAAGGCTTTCATATTGAAATTTTTGGTCAATTCATTTTTTTTTTACATTTTTATAAATTCTTGTTTTCATTTAAAAAATAAAAAATTCTTCCAGAACTTGAACAAATTAAATTCTATATATTTACAGTGAAAGGTAAAACTATATGCCAAAGAGACCCACGCAGACTTTCCCTCTTATCTAAAGTTAAATCGAAATCAGATCAATTTACGTAAAAAGAAACTTAATGATGCGCTGTCAGCTGAATTAGACAATTTACTAGGGCAATAAACTCTTAATTTAATTTTACTCTTAGCGGATGTTACGCACAGATATAGACTATTGTAAGCAGCATTGTACTTGTGGCTATCTATTACTTTAAAACTGAGCTAGTTACTAGAATTTTGTATTTTTATATTTCAATTTAAATCAATATTCACTTAAAAATATTATGATTTCTTTAGTTAGCTTGAAAATTTTTTTTATTAAAATTTTTTTATTTTAAATGTCAAAAATTAAATAGAATGTGGAGTAAAATGCTGCTGTGCTAATTATATCTTATATTAAATATATATATAAAAATTATGATTTTATTTTGTTAATTTTTATTTCATAATTTTCTTTATATCCATAAAAGACATAATATATATATTATATTTATTATTTTTAATGTATTCAATTTATGTTATATACTTAATAAATGTTATGTATTTAATATATTATATATATAATGATTTAATTGTCATTTAACTACTTTAAATTGCATCCCTGGCTAAACCTGACCGATTGCAGCTGCTGCTGTGTCCGTGGGCCTCTTTGAAAGCTGAAACGAGTGACTTGGACACTTGGCTAGCAATCCGGCCTGTGCCCGAGCCGGTGCCTGTTGCCTGTACAAGGCAGCTCTCCTTTGTCCGTTCCTTTTAAAAATGTTATTCATTTTGGTTATTTTTGTTACCACACACACACACGCACTCATGCACACAGCCAGATGCATATAGATAGTTGTGATTGTGAGCGCAGCACTCTTTCCTTTTGCCTTCATTTTTTGTTAACGACAAACCGGCCGGCATTATTTTTAGAATTTTTCAGTCAAACTTGTTACCATGCTGGGCGAAACTGGCTTCGAGGCAGCAGCCATAGTCAGAGCCAGAGCCACAGCTTCAGGTTCAGCTAAAAATGCAATGAAAATGAAGCTGCCTCTCTGATTGTGGCTCTGGTCTCCAATCTCCTGTCTTTTGTCTCCCTGCCATAAGCAAAAGTAACATTGTCTGTCTCTCTGTGCGTGTGTGTGTGTGTCTTAGTGACTTGGCATTGTTACTGTTCTCTGACTTTTTAATGCCAATGCCCAAAACTCGTCGTCCAACAAAAAGAAAAAAATTGTATCGATCGTTGCCTTAGCCGGGTTTCGGTGTTTTTTTTCACCTTTTGTGTTCTGTTTTTGGCCCATACGCTTTGCTTGAACGTTCTACGCAGCAGCATCATCATCATCATTAATATCATCATCATCAGCAGCAGCAGCAACAGCAACAGCAGCAGCAGCAGCAGCAGCATCAGCATCGGCATCAGCATCTCAGCTAGCGCCAAGGGGGTACAGTTTCGCTTCGAACTGAAAAGTTATCATTTATTTTTTTCTTTTTGTTTTCGCTTTGGCTGCTTTCTTTCGGGTTCGGATTGGTTGGGGCGGTCGCCTTAACAACATTTACTTAATTTATTTTTATTTTTATTTTTATTTCATTAATTTGAGTTTTTTTAATTGAACGTCGCCGTTGCCGTTGCCGTTGCCATTGCCGTCGCTGTTGCTGTTGCTGTAGCTCTTTTCTTGCTGTTTGTTTCACAATCGGATTATTGACTTTTTGGGTTTTTTTTCTTTATCCGAATTCGTTCTTTGTGCACATTATTCAAATGTATGTGGTAAGCCTTTGTTTAGGCCAAAACATGTTTTGTTTAATGACTTTTTATTAGTTCTGGCTCTGACTCTGGCTCCGGCTCTGGCTCTGGCGGAATACTGAACAGCTTAAACATAGAGCACTATTCAAGATGTATACATATATATATATATATAGTTATACTATATACCAGAGACGTGATCAAGTAAATATGGTTCAAGCAACTTTTCTATGCATATTCAGTTAGCTATTGGAGCCCAAAGGCTTGGCTTGACCAGTTAACTAGCTCGCACTATTTTATATGCTTATGCTTATTAACTGGTCCAATAGACTGTTGCCGCTTGGACTTATGCTAAACCATAGACAAAGGCCACTAATAATTTCGAAATGCTGGCTATGGAAATAATCTAGATATAACTGGCTAAGAGAATGTCGAATCGATAGCTCCTAATGGAACTACAACAATTTACTGACAGCTATGTGCTATATATAACATTTTCCTTGCTCGTTTTGCATATGCAAAGCATTGTTGTTCAAAGATATCTCGCTGGCTACATACTAATTAGTTAGTTAAAGAATTCTTTATGATGCAAATCTGACAAATATAATATATAAAAATATATTCAAATATTATTTAAAAATTACAATAATATGAATAATTTTAGTTAAACTAGATTTATTCATATTATTTATAGAATAACACTATAGAATAACACTATTCCTTTTACTGTAGCTTAATCCCAATCTACATAAATCTATATTTAAACAAAATATATTTACATAAATATATATAAAGATTTATATAAATTTGAAGTCAAACTGCTTAACAGACTAAATACTTTTTTTAGTTTCTGCGTCAAATAAAAAGAAAAGCCAGATCCGCTCAAACAGGATCTGAAAACAGCTAAGTTTATACACCAATAAATATTTGCTTATTTTAAAGGCATATATTGGTGGACCATAAATGCATAGATGCATCTGTAGAGCAAGCTTACACTCATATATTATTACTATATAGTAAATGTATAAATATCATATAAATGCTTTGCGAACAATGAGCAAAGCGTGCAGTACAGTAAGATAATATTCGGTTTCTTAACGACTACAAAACTCAAAGACTTATAAATGAAAGTAATTATTGACAGTCGAAGGAATAGCTGAAATTGTATAAATTAAATTATATCATACTATAAACCAACCAACCATGAACGACAGCCCATACCTAATCAAATAAGTTTTCTCATAAAATAATAATAGGGAAGGAAAGGCAGCTGTTTAATAAGACTTTCGTTCCAGCCCTTCCTTTATTTTAAGCAAATTTGATATGCACAAAAATTAAGCTAACATTAAAAATTAAAGTATTGAAAGATTTTCCAGCACAATGCGCAAATATAGTTATATAAAACTTAAAAAAAGTTACAAAATATTTAAGTTAAGTCCAATTTCTGAACTCAGCTCAGATTCACTGGATAACTAATTTTCTTTCTCAACATAATCAAGTTAAATAAAGTCTTTGAACTTC